ACTTTGAGTCCTTGTAAAAGGAGCTTTAAAAGAGCTGTGTGGGGCACAATATAGTTAGATTCTTTATTAGTTAATGGTATTTGTGACTCAATTGTGTATGAGAGATGATTGTAATGTATTACATTAATTATATCTTTGATATAAACTTTTAAAAACCATAATTGCCAGGATTGAGGCAATTTGCTACTGGGTGACTATTATGGGCATATTATTTCTGAACCCTTAGCTTGGCCACATCAACAGGTCAGATTATTCTCAATTAGCCTGAAATGAACTGACAACTAAGAGAAAGAAATAAACCTGACTTTAGAAAAATGGCTCCCTCTTTATCTTCACTATCATAAATGCAAGAAAGATTGTAATTCTCATGTTTTGTGTGTAATTTCCAGCGTATGAAGCCCTGGTGATCTTGTCACGTGGTGGAGAAATCATGTAATAACACCAGCATGATCATACCAGAATGAATGAACCAAGCTAGGGAAAACTCTCTGCGTCTCTGGTAATTTTTAGTCATTGTATGTTCCTCAGGTGTGCTTCCTCAGTTGGGTAAGTGAGGTGTCCTTACTGAGGCATCTGGGATGCTCAGGGATCTTTTCAGTTGGGTAAAAAGTGTAAAAAGCAGACTCTGAGCCATTTTCGTGATTTCCTGAAAGTCTCAGAGGTTAGTCACTGTGCATATTTGTATTCTCCTGTGAGGTAAATTGAGATTCTCCTAGAATCACATCCACTGTAGTTGGACATGTAGTTGGACATGTAGTCCACTGTAGTTACCTCAGGGTAATGCTGACAAGTTTTTTCATGTGTCTTGGAGTGCAGGCTGCCCTTGATGGCCTTGTGGCTGTTTTATGTGAAATTCTGCTTCAGGAGTGCTTCTTTGGTTCTGGAAAGTTCTTCTTTGCTACTGAGGCAGAAGAGCTCGTGAGCTTTGTGAAGTTTGCACGAGTTGAGTCGACTCAAACTGTTCTTTGCTCTTTATCTGCAGTTTACTCTGAGCCTGCAGAGATAAGAAGTGGCAGAGGAGAGTAGATCACAAAATTTTTTAATCAGCTGAAGCCTTCCTTGTGCCAAATAAGCAACTGATGACTTGAATCTATTTTATAGTGCAGCTATGTCACAGGAGAATATACCAGTACTGGTTACTATGAAAAGAAAATCAATTCTATCCCAGCCAAACCCAGCACACAGTGACTAACAAACTTTATTTTATTTTGTAAAAACCCAAATAATATTGGATATCTAAAGATAATTGAAGTGGAGATTTACTTGTGAAGGAATCCCAGCTAGGATTGAAATATTGTTTCTTGAAATATGGTTCAGTAAAATCGTGTACAGTATTGCTGAGAGATGGACAACATTAATGCCATGGCTTCCTTGCTAAATGTAAAACTTAGATCAAGAATACCGCAACCCTAATCATAACACTAGGCAGAAAAGGCAGCCTTGGGCTAAAGATGGCCCCAAGGAAAAGCTGTGGTGGCAGCCATGTTGTGGCACTTTTGCGCTCTCCTTGGGATGCCTTTTGCAGCTGCAGTGTGTCTGGAGCTCTGGGCTTCCTGGTTTAAAAAACCCTAACCCTAGGTGTAACCCTAACCTAATCAGGTAAATCAGCCTAGGGTTAGGGATAGTCCCAAGGAAAAAGCTGTGGAGGCAGCCATGTTGTGGCAGATTTGTGCTCCCCTGGGATGACTTTTCCCGCCACAGTGTGCCTGGGGCTCAGGGCTTTGCGGTTTAAGAAACCCTAAGCCTAGTCGTAACCCTCACCCTAAGACTAACCCTTGGCAGGAAAACCAGCCTTTGCCTTTGGCTGGCTCCAAGGAAAAAGCTGTTCAACCAGCCATGTATTGGCAGTTTTGCGCTCTCCTTGGTATGCCTTTCACAGCTGCACTGTGCCAGGAGCTCTGGGCTTTGTGGTTTTCAAAACCCTAACCCCAGGCAGGAAAAGCTGACTTGGGCTATGGCTGGCTCCAAGGAAAAAGCTGTGGAGGAAGCCATGTTCTGGCAGTTTTGCGCTCCCCTTGGAATGTCTTTCACAGCTGCAGCTGGAGCTCAGGGCTTTCTACTTTAAATCCTTAACCCTAGGCACAACCCTAACCTTAGGCAGGTAAATCAGCCTAGGGTTAGGGATGTTCCCAAGGAAAAAGTTGTGGAGTCAGCCATGTATTGGCAGTTTTGCGCTTCCCTTGGGATGGCTTTTGCGGCTGCAGGGTGCCTGGAGCTCTGGGCTTTGGGGTTTTCAAAACCCTAAACCTTGGCTTAACCGTACCCCTACTGCTAGGCAGTCAACCCAGCCTTGGGCTATGGCTGGCTCCAAGGAAACGGCTGTGGAGGAAGTCATGTTGTGGATGTTTTGCATTCCCCTTGGGATGCCGTTTGCGGCTGCAGTGTGCCTAGAGCTGTGGACTTTGTGGTTTTCAAAATCCTAACCATAGATCACAACTTCTTTATTATGAATAAATAAACTACTTGCCATGAAGTGTGTGAGGTAATGTTTTGCATTTTCTTTAGCTGACAAAATTTAGTGCAATTGCAATACTAATTTCTTGTGAAATGGCAGATATCTGAATAACGAACCTCAATTACCACTAGAATGATGTCATAAAGCACAAAAGCATTAATAGCAGAGAAACTGATAAAACTACATCAGGTAGAATAATTTTATTCTCCAGAATACAGAACAACCAGCAATTAATGTGAATAAGAAATTCAGTTCTGTTGTGGCAGGAGGTCATTTCATGAAGGTGTTTATCATGTCTTTTCTGCAGATTTTCATGTTATGGCTGTGTTGCCGTTGGCAGCCATGTCCTTCAGTAGCTGTGACACTGAGTAATGACAGAAAGATCACTTTTGGCCTCATACCTCTCCAGAGGTCAGTTAAACTGGAATGAGAGTTTTTGACTGACTTCTCACTGAGTGAGGGAACAGCTGCAGAGTTCACATCTGATATTCTCTGAAACAAAAGCCAGTTTCAAATTTCCCTCGGAATCATGCTCCTCTCAAGTATTTCTGGCTTTTTTTTCGTCTTCTTTTTTTTTTTTTTAATTATTATTTTATTTTATTTTATTTTTAAGTCAGTGAATCCCAGCAAATCCTTGTAGCTAGACTGGAATACAGAAACAATGGTTTAGTTTCAGGACTGGCTACTAAGACTACACATTTTCATTTTGTGAGACTAAGTGTGTGACATATCCACAAAGAAAATTACTCTATTTAAGAGTTCCATTTTTGTCTGCCTGGATAGCCTTTGCTTTCTTAAAACAGAAGGAGGCAAAAGTGGGATTTTATTTTTCTATGCATGGTCATAACAGGAGGAGGGTAGTTAGAGGCAGGCAGAATAAGTTTCTGTCTATTTAAGAAAACCCAAACCCAATTGTTTTCTGTCTATTTAAGAAAACCCAAACCCAATTGTTTTAACAGTGGAAACACTTGCTGGTTACTCATAATCAAATTGTAGTTATAAATGGGAGTTATAATGAATGCCAAAAGAAATCAGAAGATCAAGAAGGAAGATAATTTTTGAAGCTGTAAGGAGCAAAGGAAAATTGGACAGTCATGACCACGGCATCCTCTGCAAAAAAGTACTTCTGTGCATTTATAATTGTTTTATAATTACATTAATAATGTTTGAATAGAACTAGTCTCCTTTTCTGTTATAAAGCTCTGTCTTAATCGGGCTTGTTGCCAGAGAGTGGGGGTTTTTTGTTGGTTTATTTTTTTTTTTTTTTTGTTTGCAATAGTTAGAACAAAACCTACTGAAGAGATGAAAAACTTCTTTCTTTGAGTTGGGTTTTTACTATTATGAAGTGTGGCTTCAATTTTTGAGTTCTCTATTATCAGCCTAGCTCCTGAGCTGTGCCCAAACAACCTTAAGTCTTTCAATAGATGTTTTCAGAAAATTATATGGTTTAAACACTGCTTTGGTTTAACAGGCAAATGAATTACTGGAAGTGGATTCAAAGCTGGAATATGAATAGACATATAATTTCAGGTTGTAGTTTATATGTTGCTGATAATTACAAAGAATAATTGAAAATTTATTATTAGTAATTTGTTAGTTACATGGCAGTGATTTAATATGTTGTGTGAAGAAGGAATAAAAATGAGCTGGTCATGAAAAACTTGAGACACATAACAAGAGACCTGAGTTCAGAGTGAAGGTATGAATGCCCATTAATTCAATATTGAATTTAGACACTAAAACTTTGAATACTGGTGGTTTTTTTCAGCTGGAAAAACTTCTAAGTGAATGATTTCTCTGCTGCAACTTGTGTCCCAACGATGATCAGACAAGAAAAAAAAAAAAATAAGTGAAGTATAAACAAATCTTGTTATGTTATGTGGAATGGATGCTTGTAGATTCAGGAGGAAAGCTCATGCTCAGGACCTGAAAGTAAGGAAAAGTTGTGTGGCTCACTTTGAAGTGCCGGGAAAGAAATGCTTCGGTGCCCAGAGCCCCCTGGTGTTGCCGTCGGTGTAACAAACATCAACCATCTACACCAGCACAGCTCAGGGTGACCTGCAGGTGTTCTGACCGGTCAGGAAAGACCTGCCAAGCCAATCACTTTCTCCCACCCAATCATTTATTGACTCCATTATTTATCTATGGTTAAAAAAATGGTAATTTGTTTTTGACAAAGATAAGTGCTATAATTTATCCTCGCTTATAGGAAGGTTTGCTTTGGAGCTATTACCCAATCTGTGTCAGCAACAATTCAGAGCAAAGATAGGTCCTGTGTAAAGGAAAATTTAGGAAAAATATAAGTCTGCTCTACTACATCCATTGCAGTGCTCTGGTTTACATTTACTCCATGTCTGGTTTCAAGATCTCTCATTTTGTCTTTAATGCCCAAAGCATGTTGTTCCCTGTCCTCCTTTTGAATTTAGGGTTCCCATTTGCTCCTTCCCAGCACTGGGACTGCATCTGTGATAGAAATCCTTCCTTCTCCAAGGCAGCGGCTCCAGTACTTGCTCAGCCACAGCCTCGGTGTGCCTCCATGACTCACCTTGTCTTATGTTCCCCTTGCTTCCTGTCTCCCCATGCCAGGACTGAAGCCTGTCAGCGCCCTTGCTTCTATTTCTGTTTTTCCTTCTTATGCCACTAAACTCTACTGTCCCTGCCATTATCGCCTGTCAGTCTTTCCACATGCCACATGTCTCCCCTTCTCTTCTTCCTCATTGTATTATTTTTTTCTCTTTCAGTGTATGAAACGGCTGGTGGTTCAGACTTACGACACACAGGGCTCTCCAGGAAATAGGATATCTTCAGGGATGCTGAAATACAGGCTTTGTACAGGAAAACAACTAATGATCTTGAAGCAACATGCAGGAAATCTGCCATTTCAGTAAGTTAATGGTGGGCAAGGAGCTGTTGTGGACCAACAAAGCACATAATAATTAATTTGCTATTATAGACATTATTTCCCTTCTGCAGAACGAACAGGAGAATAATAATTTCGTAGCCTGCCTGGTAAGGCCAGAAACTCTGTTACACACCGAACCGGTCAGGAATTCGGTAGTAGTGCTGCATTGGGAAGCCTGGTGGGCTGGCTGGGAAGGGAGGAACAGAGCTGTGTGCCACCTGGGGGCCTCGCTGGGCAGCAAAAGAGCCCGAGGCATGGAAAAAACGAACAATGTGCATCAGGAAGCTGGGACGGAGCTCGGGATTTCTGCCAGCAGGAAGTATTGGTGGTGTTCATGTTTCTCACAGAAAACTCAGTGCTCGCTTCTGAAGGGGGAAGTACAGGGGTGGTTATTGTCCTGTAAAAGAAAAACAGGTGTGAGAGCAGCCTAAGCTGCCTCGGGGCACCCTGTTACTCTGTTGAGCCATCCAAACTGTAGGGTAGGAGAAAAGTTTATTGAAAAACTTCAGCTTTTTACTGTTCCCCTTACAAATCCTAGAGCAGTTTTTCGTAGGATGTCGCTTGGCATTACACAATGTACAGTCAGAGCTGTGGTGGCTGGTTCAAAGCACCCTGTTACTAAAGCTGAGTAGTGTAAGAAAAATTCCACAAATCCAAGAAGTTTCTGTCCAAAAAGGGGACTGAGGAGTCCTGCAATTTTATTTGAATAAAGAGAGAGCGCCTACCAGGCCACTCCCCTTTGACATTTTCTTTCTCAAGGTTTCGGGGGGGCACCCTCCTTTTATCCTGAACTCCGGCCGCCTGCTGCCCTCTCCCTTTCCCCATTGGCTGAGGCACCAGGAAGGTTCAGCCTTCCAGAACCACCTCCCACCTATCCCACCGTGAACCTACCATTTTACCCTAAAGTTCAGAAACTCAGGCTGTGCAGACCCTTGTCTATTTCAGGAGTAGAACTGCCTGAATTCTGCTACAAACCCAAAGTCAGCAGAGACATTGGGACCCATTTCAATGACATTAACACCCAACCTGCACCCAGCAAATTGTCTGTAGAGACATGAGCTTTCCTCTCAGTAGCAGCCGCATAGATTTACAACAGTGCGATTTTAGAGATTAATTTATGTTGCAGTGGGCCCTAAAACATGAGACAGACTGGTTTGAAATACTTTGGCTAGCTTATGCCAGTCAGGTAAAGAACTTTCAGAGCTACAAAACATGTGCACACTCCGAGAGGTGCTTGCTTTCTGAGAGTTCACTAAGTGATAGCGGCTAAGGTGATGTGCTAGGAACACTTCCAAGTGTTTGGTTTTGAGTGTTTTTCATTTAAAGCCGTATCAAAGCTCTATAGGGTGTTAGGTACCACACTGACTTTTGACCTGGAACTATGTTTTATGGACCCAGCAACTCTCACGCAAGGGATTCACTGAAAAGGCAAAGTAGACGTGCTGTAAAATGCTCAAAATTTATTAATCATAATTGCTTTTTAGTGTCTTAAGGAACAAAAATAAAATAATATTCAAAACCAAAAGAAAATATACCATACCCAGACAACATGACTGAGAGTAAGAAATGGGATAACATTAATTCTGAAAGAAATTACCCAAAAAATCAGTTTTCAAAAAAAAAAAAGTAATAAATAGTAGCGGTCCAAGTTTTTAAAGCTTCCTAGGAAAGAATTTACAATTATTAATATTATTATTAATGTTATTAATATTATACTTTTGTTTAAAAAATCCTTCATATGCCTCTGTTGGCAAATATATATATATATATATATTTCTTCTGTAAACAATTAACCACATAACAAAATAAAATAAAAAATCCATATTTTCATACAGCTACTATGCTGACGGTGTTATGTAAACAAAAAGTAGTGTGCAGCAGCTTCTCACAATAGGATTTTTCCTTTTCCTCACAAGAACATGTAGGGAAATATGTCCATTATAAATTATTCAAAATATTGAAGTTTATAGTTTTGAAAAGATATGGCTTTCTGCCCTCTAAGTTTTCCTCAACAAAAAAAAGAAACTTATAGAAGCAGAGGGGTACAGTTTTCCTTGGGTTTGGTTTGTTTCCTGGATTTGTCTTTTGATTTTTCTCAGTGAACTGCAATGAAAATGTTATTAGAAGTCCAGCACTTCTCAGAAGACAAATGAACAGAAAATGTCAAGATGAACTTACACCGCTCAAGGTGTAAAAGAGCAGACGTAAAAACCAATGGGAGATATATTGATAATGAAAGCTGAAATTCTGTAGACAGACAGACTGAGGGTTTATGCAGAAAATATCATCTGTTCATCCAAAATTTTAGCTGCTCTTGACACTTTTGTATTTTTTGAAGTTTCTTTATTTAGTCTTATGCTCAGCCCTTGTTTGAGGACTTGTCTCTAGTTCTAATTTTTGACATTTGCTTGCTCCTGAGAGGTCTTTATCTGCTGTGTCTCCTGTTGGGTGTTGCCTTGGGTAACGCACTCAGCATCCACACAGCTGCATTTCTCCACGTAGGTGTAGGAGTGATCAAGGGAGGTTCCATCACTGCACAACAGAGTCACCTTTCTCTTACTGGTCTTGATTTCCTGACAACACGAGCATTTGTGCACCATGGTGTTTGTCGTTTGAGAATATCTGATAGAAAAACCAATGAGAAAGATTCAGAATTTATGTGAGGTATAATGCTGCTCCTCCCAAACATTACAAAACATAACCAGAAATTGCATGCTTGCATGTGGGACTGTTGCTTAATATTAGCATTCTTACAGTATTGTGGTGAAATACAGGTAAATTGCTCCTCATTGCAAAAATTTATGACTCTAAGTCTTCATTATGGCACGGAAAAATTAAAGAATTATTCCAGATCACATAGTGAGCCAGTCCAGTGAGATAACAATGAGAGACAAATAACCTCAGTTTCAAATGGGCAAAATCAAAATTTCGATCTATTCACTATGATGCTGAACAGGCTGTTGAACACTGAATCTCAAGATAATCAAGCTAGCACAATATCATGTTAATTAACACCATGGAAACAGTTGATGGCTGGGTGGATGTTGGACACATCAGAAAAACACTTGTGATTTGCTTGATGTAACTGGTGTAAAGAGTAGAAGACAAGAGGCCACCATTATATTTTATGCCACTTACCGTGAGTAGGCATCACAGCTGCCTTCACAGTACGTTATCTCAACAGGTGCAGGAGACACACAGCCATTATAGTTGATGACAGTAGTCGTATTGTACTTCATACAAACTGAGGTCATCCCAAAGCAAAGGAAAACAGGTTAAAATACATGTGCATATAAATAGATAGCTGTGCATGATATAACAGTTTGTAACTGAAAACTAAGGAGGATGGAACAGAAATAAAAAACTAAGTCACAATGCATTTTTCTTTTAATTGCTGAGGGCCAAATGAAGACTTGGCATTTGTGTTATCAGTGGATGAAACTCTCCCTTTTTCTTAGACAACTTGATTCAGAATGCAGAAATTAAGAGCAGTACTGTGGTTACTGCTTGATGCACACCCATCTTTCAGAACTGGCTTCACTTTCCTCCTTAAAGAGAGTGTATCTATAGAAGTTGGAGAGTAGTCATCGTCCTCACCCTCCCACAAAAAAGCCAGCATTTAATAGTAGGGGATAGGAAAGTTCATCATCTGTTTCACTGAGACTAAAAATGCATAATGGAAACGTCCTGTTTCTTTTCCACCTGTTTCCTTTCTCATCCTAGTGAAGCAGTAAACCCAAACCTGGTCAGTTCACCTCATCTGTCTATGCACCCATTGTGCAAAATGAGCTAATATAGCTAACCAGGCACAGATAATCAATACTTTTAACAAAATTATTATTACTTACGTTTCGGTACTCTTCGGCACACTAAACAGCAGCCATCGTCAGATAGCCTGATATCATCCTGGGAAAACATAAAAAGATAACTCAGGTTTCATATCTGCATGCTAAAGCAGACTTTACCTGCTTCCTGATTTTCTCTGGCACCAGAGAATGTGTATATTTTTGTATTTCCATGGAATCTAATTTCAAGCAAGGCTAAATATTAAGGGCACATAACGCTTATTAATATTAAAGTCATGATTTGAAAGTTGAAATGGGGGAAAACCCTCAGTTTAGTAGCATAATTTCAGCAAGCAATAAAGCTCCTAGAACATGTAAGTCAAAATATTGTGACCACAGTCAGTGAAGGTGAAGGATTAAAACAGACAGGGTAACACAATGAATGAGATAAGTGACTTGCCAGAGGCTGATTTTTGCTTCTAGGTCACTTGACATTTTAGGAATCCAAAATATTATGCTGTATATTTTTCTCTCATGTCTGATCCTCTGTGAGGATTTTTATATCACTCATTTTAGTTTTGAGTTGCTTTTCTGAGATAAAATTTGACTGGGACTAGGTTCAGAGAGGATAAAAGGAGAGCTACTTCCTGCATGATGCTTCTGCTAGTTATTTTCATTGGACACTATGATCCTTCTATCACTGATGTTAGGCACTGCAACCTTTCCAGAAATGAGAACTGGAAGGATAGTACTTACTGGATCACAGTCATCATGGTTAAAGGCAGGACAGCTTGCCTCCTTGATGACTTGAATGAACTGGTCAGCATGTTTTTCACATGTGTAAACAGTACAGTTATCACCAGGTGGATTCCAATGTTCTCCTTCCTGAAAGTAGTCAAAATTAAAACAAATTAGGATCATCTTATATAAAAATGAAACAAAAGCCCTCCAATATCTTATTGTTGCTGTGTATAGTAGTTTGATTATTCCAAACAACTTCCTTGAATTTCAGCTGATAATTATTTGCCATATTATCATACTGCTATTAAGTGTTTTTCATTGACCAAGTGAAGAGGTTCTATTTTTATATGGATATAGAGGTGCTTTTTGTGTGAATAGGGTGAGTACCTGGACTCGTTTGGAAAGAATGATTTGCATTTCAATGGTTTTGTCATTAGAATTTATGGATGTGTCAAAATGCCTCCACAGATAAAATTGTCCTTTGAGCAAAATGGATGCTACAGTTTCAGAACTGGAGGCAAACCATAGCCCTTTGCCTTCACCTATGTATTTTCCTATGTTGATTTCTGAAAGCCATTGTTCAGTGTCATAGCACAGTTGCTTCCAGAAGTCTTAGAACTGGCGTTTTGTGGTGTAAGATATTGTTTAGGCTGTGTGGAGAGATGGAGGAAATAAATGTGACAACAACAAGGAGAGGAAAGAATGGAAAGACTAGCAAAGTTCCCCAAAAGTGAGGTAAACCAGAGGTAATTACATGGAGCACATGTGTAATGTTGTCTCCCACAGTCACTACACAAGCCGCTGCCTTGCACGTGCCACAGCACTGTCCGGGTTCCACAGTGTATTTATAGCCCTGTTTTGAAAGAAATAGAGAGACAATGGCATTAAGTCAGGTCACTGACCTGAACTGGTGGTTATTAGAGCTGGGAGGGGTAGGAATTTCTGGCAGCAGACCAGCACTCACCAGTGGGCAGTACGTGTCACAGATAACAGGCTGGCATGTGACCGCGAGGTGGTGAGGCCTTGAGGGAGAGGATGCAGAGCAGGTGCATTCTTCACAGGGGCCTGATGGAACTGCAGCTCCAGGCTAGGTGAAGTTGGAAAACCCCATTATTAGTCAGTTAAAACAAGTTGCTCCGTGTATACAAGTCACAGAAAATACAAAGATGAACTATGTACAGGCTAAACTATCCATAACTACAATTTTGGTTGTTTCATTTAAGCAGAATTCCTGGTTTGGTAATACCGATTTTGGAATCAAATTCTGCTAATGTAGAAAGGAGAGCATAATAAGATTTTGCTTGTCCAGAGGGTGTTAACCTCAGCAAAATAATGAATAATGTTTCATCTCAGGCCTTCCTACAAAATATGGACCATGATAGGTGTCTCAAAAACACTGCACTGTGAACTATGTGAGGCTATATTTTTAAATTAAGTAACTCTGTGTACTTACTGCATAATAGGTTTCGTTGACTACACAGCCCTGTCCTGTAAAGAAGGAAGAAAGAGGTGTAAGTTTTAGGAGACAGAAATTTATGAAAAAAACTTCTGTTTCATAGCTTTGTAGACCCTTTTTGTAAGCTGTGGCAGTGGCCTTAAAACACACATTCACTACAAGGCCCAATATGATACCACAGATAACTTGCATCTCTAAGATTTTTGTATCCTAGAAAAATACAGAGGTAAATACCACATGAGGAGGGTGCACAATACTTACTGCATTCGAAGATAGGACAGCAGTTTCCAGGTGGCATTATTGTGATTATTTCCTGTCCCTCTAAGCACTGGGGTGTGATGTCAGTGCAGAGGCTTGTGTTGCAGTCTGTTTCATGTAAGAGAATAAGGAAAATAATAAGCTCAGAATTTTTCAATTAAAGCAATTTTGTTTTACATGAACTTCTGAAGTCTTCCTGTGGGGTAGATATGGTGTTTACACAAGATAGTTTAATGACTAATTACTTCTATGTGCCAAGGTGTTTTCAATGTGATCGGGCCTTCCCATAATCTTTGTGAAACAAAACACTGAGAAAAGCAGAGTGATAATTGCTGGAAAGAGATAATTTCAAAGAGAAGTTTGTACCAGTGGGGAAATCTGATGACTCTCTGCTCTGATAACTGGTTCTGGAACTTTTCTGAGCAATTTTTAAATAATCACTACTATTTTTTAAAGTTAATCTTCCTAATACTGGCCTTTGAAATGAAATCACAAATGTTTTGAAGGGTTTTTGAATATTATTTCAGGTAGTGACAGTATTAAAGGCTTTCAATGTAAAATTATAGGAGATTTTCTGTTACTTTTCTATGTCTAACTATATAAAATCTTTTAATCTTTAAATTTGCTGTCATTAGGCATTTACTGTATGCTCTGCAAGAAGGCTCTAAAAAGCATTATGACATCAATGCAAAGTATTTAAAAATGCAAAATTATTGCTGTAGTTTCCTAAAATTAATATAACCTATTCCCCATGATAAAGAATTAAGACAGTACTCACAGCACTCAGTCCTAGTACAGCACGGATCTTCTGGTATTGGTATCTCAACAGGCATGTAACCTGGTTCTTCACAAAATATTTGCTGTGTCAGAGAACATTCGTGCTTTTTACACTTCACCTTAAGAGTATTTTTGTCACAGACACATTCCCGGCAATCTTTTGTCCATTTTTCTCCTGGCTAAATAAAAAAGAAAAACACAGACAAAGGAAAGAAAAAAATTAAATACAAAATTAAACCAAAATAATTTTATTTGCTTCTAGTTAACATATTCACGCATATAGTGATAACTGATTATATCAGCTTTTTCATATTCTAGATTTCATAGGGGACCCTCAAACTGCTTATTCCAGGAAGACATTGGAGGCTGCTAAAGGTTCTGAGTTCAGAAAGCTATTACTTTTTATTTGTTAATAGTGTTAGTATGAGAGTTACAGGAGTTCTAAAGGAGAAGTGATTGAGCCTCACATCCATTTTTTAATAAGAGATGATCATATGAGATACTCATTTTCACATTAGGTTGCTGATTTCTGTGCAGCTGAGGAACAAAGAATGCAAGATATGAACATGATAAGCAACAGGTAAACTTTGTTCTCCATCTCTCCCTTCATTTCTAGTAATTTTAGCAAGCCAAATTTGTGGAAATAAAATAAGCATATATGCCCAACTTCCACTACTACCATTTCTCTCTCTCTTTTATTTTTAAGGTTTTTTTCCTGTATGTGAGGTTAATGAAAGAATATTTTATCACATATTGTTAAATTTCTTAGGGGTGCCCTAGTACTCATTATTTTTAAGACTGAAACTGAACAAACATTTGTGACAAAGCTTTGGTTTAGTGGAATACTAAATATCATCTTGTTTCACTTGTCTGTGCTCATTAAGCCACACTCATTGTGATACTCACCTGTCTGGATATTCCATTTGGTTCTCTGCAGACTAGAGAGAAAAAGAAAAAAAAGAGACAAACGAATGGGTATTTACACCACTGAAAACTGACAAAGGAATACATATGTGCAGTTTCAAATAAAAAAAAAGGTGAAGATAAAGCTAACAAGAAAATGAACATGCAGACTAATTTTTCTGAACTGTAGAGTTCTACCATCTCGGTGAGTCTTACATAAGGACGGATGATGGGAAAAAAGGGTAATATTGACTATTATTCAATTTGTAACTGGGGACACTTAGGGAACCTGATGTGCAATGATCTGACCATGTAGAAGATGACTATAGAGCTCAGGTCTCCTGACTAACAATCTCTATCTCTATTTATTCCTCAAATTAGCTACTTACAGCATTCGGAGACACAGATGCTGCTCTCTGCATGCAGGAGTGTCATTCCTTCAGGACAGAAACAGCCTTCAGTTACTCCATAGCCAGGACGCTCATAGCTGGAATGGGAAGAATATATGTGCTTGAGTACAACACTTTTGTGGTGAGGCAGAGGGCAGAGCAGCGTATCATGTCAGATACAAGAGAGACAAAAAATGTACACTTTCTGAAGGGCAACAGGAAGCACCTATTCCTAGAGCTGATTGGTATTTATAAATCTTTAATAAGTTCGTGAAATTCACAACACATTTCATTGTGAAATAACTCAAATTTCTGAGGAAAGTAGATAGATAAGGAAAATATAAGCAGGTGCTTCAGGGTAGGGTGTTTTGTTTTTCCCTACCTTTGGTCACAGCTAACTGGATTAATGGGCCCACACGGCTTGTATACCATGCTTGACGGACAGCTGAATGCTGTATGGAAAAAGAAAAAAAAAAAATTAAAAATTGACAGTAGATGCATTTTTTTCAGAAAAAAAATTACTACAGCTTTGCCTTCTTAATCTGCAGCTTCTGTGAGAAATGACCCCACTGGGTTTTTGTAGACAATAACCAAGTGTCAGATATAAGAGATGTTTAGTGAATAAAGCAGTATTTTCTACCATTTATCACGCACATTTTGAATCCTGCAATACTTACAACATGTATTGTTGGTCATTCCTCTCCAGTCAATGCAGACACCTCTAGCAGCACACTCTGTAGCATACATCTCCAAACTGGAACACTGCATGGATTCATCGTCTATGCGACATCCATCAAAAACACAGCCCTTGAAAAATGGTTCTGGTGGTATCACGGTATGACATTCTGCAAAAACCCTGCAGACAGGAAAGAAAGCAACCCCCTTCTATATTAATGAGCCATTATACAAAGTCTGTTCCTGTCAGACAACACTTTCCAGTTAATACCATGTGACTCTGCTTCAGAAAGGAAAGTATCATGAGAAACAAGATCCTAGGCATGGCCAATAAGCTGGGAGATAGATTCAGGAAGATTAAGAAATCTGTAGTGCTTTCTTTTCCTAGATGTTAATGGTCATAGTATTTCTGTATGTGTACGCAACTTTTTAGTGGCGTATGGTGTAAAAGGCAATTGCACTACGTTGAGAAAAAAGGAATGAAAACAGTAGCAATAGAAAATTCACACATAAAAGAGCTCCAAACTTACTAGATACTACAGAAAGCATGTGTAAGAGGGCTTTTATAAGTAACCTTTCAGCCTACACAGGTATATGACATACTTCAGACAACAAGCCTTTGCACTTTTGGAATTCCATATTTTAGGTAAAACATACAAAGAAAGAAGGACATTTCTCAGCTGTTTGCATCTGCTTTCTTCACCTTTTTGGCAAGTGGTTTCTCTATGATTTGTACTGAAGACCCACTTCAAATTTAGAGTTCAGTCTTTGCTTAATACTTAATGAACAAACTCTGGAAATATTGCATCCAGGGAGAATTGATTTTAGTGCTCACTGCATCCCTGATTTTCTGACTTTACCTCTCCTTGCTCAGTTATCTTTGGCATGCAAATCATTAAGGCAGACCAGTTTCTTTTGCAAAGGCCTTTTACTATATATATTCTGTCACTGAGCTGACATTTTCAGTTATTATCACATGCTAAAGATATTGCTGTTATTCTTCTTGTAAGATACTGAGACAGTTGTGTCTAGAAAAAATGAATTTGTTTTCTTACTCGCTTAAGATAAGTTTGCAGAGCGGAGGTGTTTGACATTGCGGCTTTGGTGGAGGTGTGGTTATAGTTGGTGGTACTGGCACTCCATGGCATGACTTGTTGTTGTCAACAATCCAGTGATGAGCCATTTGGGGACAGGAGGAAATGATCTTACCACTTGGTAAACGGCATTCATCTTCTTTATTGTTTGTACATGTTCCTGGAAGAGATAAGGTGGGTAAGTCTCCTAAGCCACATCAGAGATGCACAGTACATTCCTGGGCTGATATGTTTAGGTGTGATGTGCTCATAAATGCATATTTTGCTTTGCTTCCTAGGGAACACTCTCTAGGTTGAACTTTAGGTTGTGGAAAAAACAAACAGATGTAAAACCCCAGCCCCAAAGAAATATTGAGCTTTTGACATCTACAGAAGTTGAAGAGCAAAACTGTACTCATTTCCATTTACTGCTGTTTAAAAATCTCTGTCAATTGTAAGACTGCATAGCCAGAGTGGGTGAGCATAACCAAAGTAGGGGTGGGGAAAGAGGACTCCCTCCAATCTGTGCAGCCTTCTTACCACATTGTCCTTCGGTGTTGTTGCCAAATTTGCTGTATGGGAGCTTGACAGAGAAAATGAGACCACTAAAGGTGATGACTGCACCAATTTCTTCTATTTCAACAATCATATTGATGCCAAGAGTGGAGAAAGAAATGCCATCTTTTTTGAAGCCTGGTCCAACAATCTTTTTGTTGAAGTACATCTGTATACAGGGTTAAAAAAAACCATCAAAACACCACATCAGAATAAGCAATGCTCCTCCCTGATTGTTTTAAATAATATATTTTCTAATCTTCACAATTATGGATAAGTCCATATTGTTGTTCATCACATCCAGTGCCCATTGGCATCCTAATGACAGCATATATTTGCATTGATATCTTGGCTTGTATTGCTATATTGCTAAAATGGGATCATAATCCAAGTGGCCTCTACATACCATGTTTGCGATAATTGTATGCTCATACACAGTATTCTATGCATATAAATGCAAGTATTTTCATTGTATCCCTCATGATTATGTGCCTTGGAAACATTTTTCATATGAAAATGTGTGGCAGTTTTGTTTAGCTACAGAAACATCCCTGTCATTATTATGTGATAACTTTGCCAGACAGTCACACCATCTCTATATTACAAAGCGATTGACATAGGAAGAGCTGTCTGAATTCAAAATTAAGTCAGATGCCCTTAGTGCCAGTTTTATGTGGTAGTGATCATATTTATTTGTTAAAATTTTCAATTTGCAGCCAGTATCTTATATGAGTTAATGAAGGTAAATTATTTGCCTAATAGTTTTTCGTCAGAAGTTATTCTGCAGCTCTCTTCTCACTGAACCAGGCTAAAGCACGACTTAAAATTGTCAGTCACTGTTTTCTTTCACAGGGAACCAATGTGTGTTTCTGACTGAGAATTTGGCATGGCACTGTAAGGAGAGAGTGCCTATTCAGACAAAATTTTCTCCCTTTCTATAGATTCTCTAATCAACAAATAGATTCTCCAGTGTAAGAGTGGGACTATCTTTTCATTTTCATTGGTTTGCCAACACAACTTTGGATCATGAAGGTCAGGTGACAGTCTAAGTTACCCCTTTTCTTCAGCTATACCTCTCTTCACTGTAGGAAATTGAAGGGGGAATCATGTCAGGGCTGTTTGGTGCCAAAGTTCCATATGGAGAGAAAGAAGTCATCCAGTAGATAAGGGATACATATCCATCTTCCTCTGGGAGAAGATTCCTGCTTGCAATTTGTGTTTGTGTTTCCTCAAAGTGTGCTTTTTTTACATAAGAGTATGGCACAATGTACCAGTTTTCATGAAATGTGAATTTTGTTCTTAGCATCCAGTGCAATCCTTTTTTTCCCCCCCTAGTGATATCCTCTGCCCTGATCACCTCCATGATGTGATATTCTAACAGACTGTATCTCAAAATAGCATCAGTAAGGCTTATAGACATTAGTTCTTTTTTGCAAAAATAGAAAAAAGTATTTACCACATTGGTCATCACACCATTCATGAGTTGACGAGTCAGCACCACTTCTGCAGATTTGTAGAAAATAATAATAGATTTAGGGCAGGAGAGTCCATCTTTTGCATCGCAGTAATAATTGTCAATGTAAACACGGAAGTTGTCATATCTAGGGACAATCTGTTTCACCAGGACGTAAGTGCAGTTTTCAAGGAAGGTATAATAGGTTCCATCAAAAGTAATGTAATGAGGATCACCCCATCCACTACACACACCTGTACAGAGAAAATATTTGGAAGATTAAGATGAGAATTTAGGCAGAAGAAAATCTAAAACCTGAAGATACTGCAACTTATAGAGTAACCCTAAGAAATGAAAATGCCCATATAATCTGTGTAAAGCTTGGCTGTTTCTTCTTCTTTTTTTTTTTCCTTTTTTATGTTATTCCTGTATCTAGTGATGCTTACATTGACACTCATATCGGTAACAGCATCCATTTTCATCAGGTACCAGCATTGGTGGATATTTGTTTGCACAGGTAATTTCCTTTACCGGTGGGCAGTATGTTGGTACTACATCTATGTTGTTGTCTCCATTACAGATGACTTCTGTACAGTTGGATAATTTGAATCTTTCTCCAGGCTGCAAAATGAAGAAAAAGCTTTTTTCAAAAAACTCTGTAAACAGGTATGACCTTCACTCCTCCTTTTAGATTTATGCTATGTTTTCAGTACTGGTAGTGTTGGAAAGGAAATCAATGTGGGTTACTTCTCTTCAATTTTGGTATTAATGACTTTTAATGGCAACTACAGGTATTCAAAATTCTGACTGTGTTATGGGGAAAAAAACCACACTTACTTTTCTGAAACTAAAAAAAAAAAGACTAAAATGAAAATTTTCACTCAGAGAAAAAAGTTGTCAATATTGTACAGGATTAAATTTTTTAATGTCAAAAGGAGGTGGAAACCTTAACTACACCAGTTACTTCTGCATCAGGAACTCTTCTGGAGCTTGGGGACACGCATTAGGTTACAGGCACTGCTTCCCTCTGTTCTGCGTATAGCGTAATTCACGGTCAACAGAGGACATAAAAAAAGTTTAAAGGAGTATAGACATAAAAACAGGAGAATGGAAACAGATACAAGACTTCACTGAATCTAAAATATTTCCCTTTAGTGAAAAAATAAGATATATAAGAAAACTCCTTATATTATGTCAGTGAGAAGATACCTTACAGATGCAATGCACCAAAGAGTTTCACTAAAAATAAAGACACACGAAAAGAACATTGTCACATCTTTTAGAAGTATGAAAAACTAAAAGTCAGAAAAAGGAAAAATGAAAATATTATGTCCTATATATTGCCCATCATTAGCAAAATAATTAAGACAATCACCACATGTAAGGTTTACACACCACAAACCCTACCAATTAGACACCACCAAAAAAATTATATTATTTCAATACTCGAAAACTAACACAAAAAAAACGTACTTGTAAAGGAGGGTACATATTGGAAACACAACCATGAAAAGCAGGACGTGTAGAAGTGGGAGGCAGAGGAACTGCTGTTGTTATTGTAGACCACTCAGAGGAACTTGTGGCTGGCAAAGTAGTGACAGGACAATGTACAGCGTGTCGTTCAATATTACATGTTGGGCTACAGATGGCATAAAATCGACATCCGTCACTATCAATTCTATTATAAATCAAGTCACCTGTAGAAAAAGAAAAAAAGAAATATTAGAAGCATGAAAAAAAAAAAAACAAAAAAAGACAGGCACAAAAAAAAGAAAATAATGATGCAGAAAAAGGAACATGAGCAAAAAAAACCAAAGAGAAAACAAATGGAAAATTAGTAAGAAGGTGACAAAACAATGCACACGAACCCGGTGAAAAAATAGAATCACCAATCTTGCAGAAACAGGTTGTAGTTGAAATGGGAGAAGTTGTTGTGAAGACAGGTTCACTAAGGGTAGCAATGGTGGATGTGCTGGTGGCGGTTGAGAGGGTGGAGAAAGGGCAGTTGTAGTTGGGGGTGCAGCAGAGCACACGGATCTTGTAGTTGAGGCACATCTTGAACTTGCCCGTCTGGTCCTCGTTCTTGCACACCAGTCCAAAGTGGACGTCGCACTGCACGACCTGCCCCACCTGCTGGATGGCAACGTCGGGGTAGTCCTCCGCCCGGCACTCGATCTCCTTTGGCTGCCGGCAGACCTGCTTGCCGGCGGCGCGGATGTGCTGGTAGGTTTCGAAGTCTCCCTGGCTGGGCCCCGAGGAGGGGAAGTCGACGTCGAACCATTCGCTCCAGGTGCACACTTCGGGTTCACAGGGGGTGGTGGAGGAAGTTGTCGTCGACATCGTCGGCGTGGGGATGGTGGTGCTGGTGGAAGTGATGATTTCCGTGGAGGTGGGACTCGTGGTGGTGGAGATGTATGGCGTGGAGGTGGAGGTGGTGACCGTGGTGGTGGAGGACGGGATCGATGTGGTCGTGGTGCTGGTGGTGGGGCTGGTTGTTATCACGGGGACTGTGGGGAATGAGCAGTTGTAGTTGGGGGTGCAGCAGAGCACACGGATCTTGTAGTTGAGGCACATCTTGAACTTGCCCGTCTGGTCCTCGTTCTTGCACACCAGTCCAAAGTGGACGTCGCACTGCACGACCTGCCCCACCTGCTGGATGGCAACGTCGGGGTAGTCCTCCGCCCGGCACTCGATCTCCTTTGGCTGCCGGCAGACCTGCTTGCCGGCGGCGCGGATGTGCTGGTAGGTTTCGAAGTCTCCCTGGCTGGGCCCCGAGGAGGGGAAGTCGACGTCGAACCATTCGCTCCAGGTGCACACTTCGGGTTCACAGGGGGTGGTGGAGGAAGTTGTCGTCGACGTCGTCGGCGTGGGGATGGTGGTGCTGGTGGAAGTGATGATTTCCGTGGAGGTGGGACTCGTGGTGGTGGAGATGTATGGCGTGGAGGTGGAGGTGGTGACCGTGGTGGTGGAGGACGGGATCGATGTGGTCGTGGTGCTGGTGGTGGGGCTGGTTGTTATCACGGGGACTGTGGGGAATGAGCAGTTGTAGTTGGGGGTGCAGCAGAGCACACGGATCTTGTAGTTGAGGCACATCTTGAACTTGCCCGTCTGGTCCTCGTTCTTGCACACCAGTCCAAAGTGGACGTCGCACTGCACGACCTGCCCCACCTGCTGGATGGCAACGTCGGGGTAGTCCTCCGCCCGGCACTCGATCTCCTTTGGCTGCCGGCAGACCTGCTTGCCGGCGGCGCGGATGTGCTGGTAGGTTTCGAAGTCTCCCTGGCTGGGCCCCGAGGAGGGGAAGTCGACGTCGAACCATTCGCTCCAGGTGCACACTTCGGGTTCACAGGGGGTGGTGGAGGAAGTTGTCGTCGACGTCGTCGGCGTGGGGATGGTGGTGCTGGTGGAAGTGATGATTTCCGTGGAGGTGGGACTCGTGGTGGTGGAGATGTATGGCGTGGAGGTGGAGGTGCTGACCGTGGTGGTGGAGGAGGGGATCGATGTGGTCGTGGTGCTGGTGGTGGGGCTGGTTGTTATCACGGGGACTGTGGGGAATGAGCAGTTGTAGTTGGGGGTGCAGCAGAGCACACGGATCTTGTAGTTGAGGCACATCTTGAACTTGCCCGTCTGGTCCTCGTTCTTGCACACCAGTCCAAAGTGGACGTCGCACTGCACGACCTGCCCCACCTGCTGGATGGCAACGTCGGGGTAGTCCTCCGCCCGGCACTCGATCTCCTTTGGCTGCCGGCAGACCTGCTTGCCGGCGGCACGGATGTGCTGGTAGGTTTCGAAGTCTCCCTGGCTGGGCCCCGAGGAGGGGAAGTCGACGTCGAACCATTCGCTCCAGGTGCACACTTCGGGTTCACAGGGGGTGGTGGAGGAAGTTGTCGTCGACGTCGTCGGCGTGGGGATGGTGGTGCTGGTGGAAGTGATGATTTCCGTGGAGGTGGGACTCGTGGTGGTGGAGATGTATGGCGTGGAGGTGGAGGTGGTGACCGTGGTGGTGGAGGAGGGGATCGATGTGGTCGTGGTGCTGGTGGTGGGGCTGGTTGTTATCACGGGGACTGTGGGAAATGAGCAGTTGTAGTTGGGGGTGCAGCAGAGCACACGGATCTTGTAGTTGAGGCACATCTTGAACTTGCCCGTCTGGTCCTCGTTCTTGCACACCAGCCCAAAGTGGACGTCGCACTGCACGACCTGCCCCACCTGCTGGATAGCAACGTCGGGGTAGTCCTCCGCCCGGCACTCGATCTCCTTTGGCTGCCGGCAGACCTGCTTGCCGGCGGCGCGGATGTGCTGGTAGGTTTCGAAGTCTCCCTGGCTGGGCCCCGAGGAGGGGAAGTCGACGTCGAACCATTCGCTCCAGGTGCACACTTCGGGTTCACAGGGGGTGGTGGAGGAAGTTGTCGTCGACGTCGTCGGCGTGGGGATGGTGGTGCTGGTGGAAGTGATGATTTCCGTGGAGGTGGGACTCGTGGTGGTGGAGATGTATGGCGTGGAGGTGGAGGTGCTGACCGTGGTGGTGGAGGAGGGGATCGATGTGGTCGTGGTGCTGGTGGTGGGGCTGGTTGTTATCACGGGGACTGTGGGGAATGAGCAGTTGTAGTTGGGGGTGCAGCAGAGCACACGGATCTTGTAGTTGAGGCACATCTTGAACTTGCCCGTCTGGTCCTCGTTCTTGCACACCAGTCCAAAGTGGACGTCGCACTGCACGACCTGCCCCACCTGCTGGATGGCAACGTCGGGGTAGTCCTCCGCCCGGCACTCGATCTCCTTTGGCTGCCGGCAGACCTGCTTGCCGGCGGCGCGGATGTGCTGGTAGGTTTCGAAGTCTCCCTGGCTGGGCCCCGAGGAGGGGAAGTCGACGTCGAACCATTCGCTCCAGGTGCACACTTCGGGTTCACAGGGGGTGGTGGAGGAAGTTGTCGTCGACGTCGTCGGCGTGGGGATGGTGGTGCTGGTGAAAGTGATGATTTCCGTGGAGGTGGGACTCGTGGTGGTGGAGATGTATGGCGTGGAGGTGGAGGTGGTGACCGTGGTGGTGGAGGACGGGATCGATGTGGTCGTGGTGCTGGTGGTGGGGCTGGTTGTTATCACGGGGACTGTGGGGAATGAGCAGTTGTAGTTGGGGGTGCAGCAGAGCACACGGATCTTGTAGTTGAGGCACATCTTGAACTTGCCCGTCTGGTCCTCGTTCTTGCACACCAGTCCAAAGTGGACGTCGCACTGCACGACCTGCCCCACCTGCTGGATGGCAACGTCGGGGTAGTCCTCCGCCCGGCACTCGATCTCCTTTGGCTGCCGGCAGACCTGCTTGCCGGCGGCGCGGATGTGCTGGTAGGTTTCGAAGTCTCCCTGGCTGGGCCCCGAGGAGGGGAAGTCGACGTCGAACCATTCGCTCCAGGTGCACACTTCGGGTTCACAGGGGGTGGTGGAGGAAGTTGTCGTCGACGTCGTCGGCGTGGGGATGGTGGTGCTGGTGGAAGTGATGATTTCCGTGGAGGTGGGACTCGTGGTGGTGGAGATGTATGGCGTGGAGGTGGAGGGGGTGACCGTGGTGGTGGAGGACGGGATCGATGTGGTCGTGGTGCTGGTGGTGGGTCTGGTTGTTATCACGGGGACTGTGGGGAATGAGCAGTTGTAGTTGGGGGTGCAGCAGAGCACACGGATCTTGTAGTTGAGGCACATCTTGAACTTGCCCGTCTGGTCCTCGTTCTTGCACACCAGTCCAAAGTGGACGTCGCACTGCACGACCTGCCCCACCTGCTGGATGGCAACGTCGGGGTAGTCCTCCGCCCGGCACTCGATCTCCTTTGGCTGCCGGCAGACCTGCTTGCCGTCGGCGCGGATGTGCTGGTAGGTTTCGAAGTCTCCCTGGCTGGGCCCCGAGGAGGGGAAGTCGACGTCGAACCATTCGCTCCAGGTGCACACTTCGGGTTCACAGGGGGTGGTGGAGGAAGTTGTCGTCGACGTCGTCGGCGTGGGGATGGTGGTGCTGGTGGAAGTGATGATTTCCGTGGAGGTGGGACTCGTGGTGGTGGAGATGTATGGCGTGGAGGTGGAGGTGGTGACCGTGGTGGTGGAGGACGGGATCGATGTGGTCGTGGTGCTGGTGGTGGGGCTGGTTGTTATCACGGGGACTGTGGGGAATGAGCAGTTGTAGTTGGGGGTGCAGCAGAGCACACGGATCTTGTAGTTGAGGCACATCTTGAACTTGCCCGTCTGGTCCTCGTTCTTGCACACCAGCCCAAAGTGGACGTCGCACTGCACGACCTGCCCCACCTGCTGGATGGCAACGTCGGGGTAGTCCTCCGCCCGGCACTCGATCTCCTTTGGCTGCCGGCAGACCTGCTTGCTGGCGGCGCGGATGTGCTGGTAGGTTTCGAAGTCTCCCTGGCTGGGCCCCGAGGAGGGGAAGTCGACGTCGAACCATTCGCTCCAGGTGCACACTTCGGGTTCACAGGGGGTGGTGGAGGAAGTTGTCGTCGACGTCGTCGGCGTGGGGATGGTGGTGCTGGTGGAAGTGATGATTTCCGTGGAGGTGGGACTCGTGGTGGTGGAGATGTATGGCGTGGAGGTGGAGGTGGTGACCGTGGTGGTGGAGGACGGGATCGATGTGGTCGTGGTGCTGGTGGTGGGGCTGGTTGTTATCACGGGGACTGTGGGGAATGAGCAGTTGTAGTTGGGGGTGCAGCAGAGCACACGGATCTTGTAGTTGAGGCACATCTTGAACTTGCCCGTCTGGTCCTCGTTCTTGCACACCAGTCCAAAGTGGACGTCGCACTGCACGACCTGCCCCACCTGCTGGATGGCAACGTCGGGGTAGTCCTCCGCCCGGCACTCGATCTCCTTTGGCTGCCGGCAGACCTGCTTGCCGGCGGCGCGGATGTGCTGGTAGGTTTCGAAGTCTCCCTGGCTGGGCCCCGAGGAGGGGAAGTCGACGTCGAACCATTCGCTCCAGGTGCACACTTCGGGTTCACAGGGGGTGGTGGAGGAAGTTGTCGTCGACGTCGTCGGCGTGGGGATGGTGGTGCTGGTGGAAGTGATGATTTCCGTGGAGGTGGGACTCGTGGTGGTGGAGATGTATGGCGTGGAGGTGGAGGTGGTGACCGTGGTGGTGGAGGAGGGGATCGATGTGGTCGTGGTGCTGGTGGTGGGGCTGGTTGTTATCACGGGGACTGTGGGGAATGAGCAGTTGTAGTTGGGGGTGCAGCAGAGCACACGGATCTTGTAGTTGAGGCACATCTTGAACTTGCCCGTCTGGTCCTCGTTCTTGCACACCAGTCCAAAGTGGACGTCGCACTGCACGACCTGCCCCACCTGCTGGATGGCAACGTCGGGGTAGTCCTCCGCCCGGCACTCGATCTCCTTTGGCTGCCGGCAGACCTGCTTGCCGGCGGCGCGGATGTGCTGGTAGGTTTCGAAGTCTCCCTGGCTGGGCCCCGAGGAGGGGAAGTCGACGTCGAACCATTCGCTCCAGGTGCACACTTCGGGTTCACAGGGGGTGGTGGAGGAAGTTGTCGTCGACGTCGTCGGCGTGGGGATGGTGGTGCTGGTGGAAGTGATGATTTCCGTGGAGGTGGGACTCGTGGTGGTGGAGATGTATGGCGTGGAGGTGGAGGTGGTGACCGTGGTGGTGGAGGACGGGATCGATGTGGTCGTGGTGCTGGTGGTGGGGCTGGTTGTTATCACGGGGACTGTGGGGAATGAGCAGTTGTAGTTGGGGGTGCAGCAGAGCACACGGATCTTGTAGTTGAGGCACATCTTGAACTTGCCCGTCTGGTCCTCGTTCTTGCACACCAGCCCAAAGTGGACGTCGCACTGCACGACCTGCCCCACCTGCTGGATGGCAACGTCGGGGTAGTCCTCCGCCCGGCACTCGATCTCCTTTGGCTGCCGGCAGACCTGCTTGCCGGCGGCGCGGATGTGCTGGTAGGTTTCGAAGTCTCCCTGGCTGGGCCCCGAGGAGGGGAAGTCGACGTCGAACCATTCGCTCCAGGTGCACACTTCGGGTTCACAGGGGGTGGTGGAGGAAGTTGTCGTCGACGTCGTCGGCGTGGGGATGGTGGTGCTGGTGGAAGTGATGATTTCCGTGGAGGTGGGACTCGTGGTGGTGGAGATGTATGGCGTGGAGGTGGAGGTGGTGACCGTGGTGGTGGAGGACGGGATCGATGTGGTCGTGGTGCTGGTGGTGGGGCTGGTTGTTATCACGGGGACTGTGGGGAATGAGCAGTTGTAGTTGGGGGTGCAGCAGAGCACACGGATCTTGTAGTTGAGGCACATCTTGAACTTGCCCGTCTGGTCCTCGTTCTTGCACACCAGTCCAAAGTGGACGTCGCACTGCACGACCTGCCCCACCTGCTGGATGGCAACGTCGGGGTAGTCCTCCGCCCGGCACTCGATCTCCTTTGGCTGCCGGCAGACCTGCTTGCCGGCGGCGCGGATGTGCTGGTAGGTTTCGAAGTCTCCCTGGCTGGGCCCCGAGGAGGGGAAGTCGACGTCGAACCATTCGCTCCAGGTGCACACTTCGGGTTCACAGGGGGTGGTGGAGGAAGTTGTCGTCGACGTCGTCGGCGTGGGGATGGTGGTGCTGGTGGAAGTGATGATTTCCGTGGAGGTGGGACTCGTGGTGGTGGAGATGTATGGCGTGGAGGTGGAGGTGGTGACCGTGGTGGTGGAGGACGGGATCGATGTGGTCGTGGTGCTGGTGGTGGGGCTGGTTGTTATCACGGGGACTGTGGGGAATGAGCAGTTGTAGTTGGGGGTGCAGCAGAGCACACGGATCTTGTAGTTGAGGCACATCTTGAACTTGCCCGTCTGGTCCTCGTTCTTGCACACCAGTCCAAAGTGGACGTCGCACTGCACGACCTGCCCCACCTGCTGGATGGCAACGTCGGGGTAGTCCTCCGCCCGGCACTCGATCTCCTTTGGCTGCCGGCAGACCTGCTTGCCGGCGGCGCGGATGTGCTGGTAGGTTTCGAAGTCTCCCTGGCTGGGCCCCGAGGAGGGGAAGTCGACGTCGAACCATTCGCTCCAGGTGCACACTTCGGGTTCACAGGGGGTGGTGGAGGAAGTTGTCGTCGACGTCGTCGGCGTGGGGATGGTGGTGCTGGTGGAAGTGATGATTTCCGTGGAGGTGGGACTCGTGGTGGTGGAGATGTATGGCGTGGAGGTGGAGGTGGTGACCGTGGTGGTGGAGGAGGGGATCGATGTGGTCGTGGTGCTGGTGGTGGGGCTGGTTGTTATCACGGGGACTGTGGGGAATGAGCAGTTGTAGTTGGGGGTGCAGCAGAGCACACGGATCTTGTAGTTGAGGCACATCTTGAACTTGCCCGTCTGGTCCTCGTTCTTGCACACCAGTCCAAAGTGGACGTCGCACTGCACGACCTGCCCCACCTGCTGGATGGCAACGTCGGGGTAGTCCTCCGCCCGGCACTCGATCTCCTTTGGCTGCCGGCAGACCTGCTTGCCGGCGGCGCGGATGTGCTGGTAGGTTTCGAAGTCTCCCTGGCTGGGCCCTGAGGAGGGGAAGTCGACGTCGAACCATTCGCTCCAGGTGCACACTTCGGGTTCACAGGGGGTGGTGGAGGAAGTTGTCGTCGACGTCGTCGGCGTGGGGATGGTGGTGCTGGTGGAAGTGATGATTTCCGTGGAGGTGGGACTCGTGGTGGTGGAGATGTATGGCGTGGAGGTGGAGGTGGTGACCGTGGTGGTGGAGGACGGGATCGATGTGGTCGTAGTGCTGGTGGTGGGGCTGGTTGTTATCACGGGGACTGTGGGGAATGAGCAGTTGTAGTTGGGGGTGCAGCAGAGCACACGGATCTTGTAGTTGAGGCACATCTTGAACTTGCCCGTCTGGTCCTCGTTCTTGCACACCAGCCCAAAGTGGACGTCGCACTGCACGACCTGCCCCACCTGCTGGATGGCAACGTCGGGGTAGTCCTCCGCCCGGCACTCGATCTCCTTTGGCTGCCGGCAGACCTGCTTGCCGGCGGCGCGGATGTGCTGGTAGGTTTCGAAGTCTCCCTGGCTGGGCCCCGAGGAGGGGAAGTCGACGTCGAACCATTCGCTCCAGGTGCACACTTCGGGTTCACAGGGGGTGGTGGAGGAAGTTGTCGTCGACGTCGTCGGCGTGGGGATGGTGGTGCTGGTGGAAGTGATGATTTCCGTGGAGGTGGGACTCGTGGTGGTGGAGATGTATGGCGTGGAGGTGGAGGTGGTGACCGTGGTGGTGGAGGACGGGATCGATGTGGTCGTGGTGCTGGTGGTGGGGCTGGTTGTTATCACGGGGACTGTGGGGAATGAGCAGTTGTAGTTGGGGGTGCAGCAGAGCACACGGATCTTGTAGTTGAGGCACATCTTGAACTTGCCCGTCTGGTCCTCGTTCTTGCACACCAGTCCAAAGTGGACATCGCACTGCACGACCTGCCCCACCTGCTGGATGGCAACGTCGGGGTAGTCCTCCGCCCGGCACTCGATCTCCTTTGGCTGCCGGCAGACCTGCTTGCCGGCGGCGCGGATGTGCTGGTAGGTTTCGAAGTCTCCCTGGCTGGGCCCCGAGGAGGGGAAGTCGACGTCGAACCATTCGCTCCAGGTGCACACTTCGGGTTCACAGGGGGTGGTGGAGGAAGTTGTCGTCGACGTCGTCGGCGTGGGGATGGTGGTGCTGGTGGAAGTGATGATTTCCGTGGAGGTGGGACTCGTGGTGGTGGAGATGTATGGCGTGGAGGTGGAGGTGGTGACCGTGGTGGTGGAGGACGGGATCGATGTGGTCGTGGTGCTGGTGGTGGGGCTGGTTGTTATCACGGGGACTGTGGGGAATGAGCAGTTGTAGTTGGGGGTGCAGCAGAGCACACGGATCTTGTAGTTGAGGCACATCTTGAACTTGCCCGTCTGGTCCTCGTTCTTGCACACCAGTCCAAAGTGGACGTCGCACTGCACGACCTGCCCCACCTGCTGGATGGCAACGTCGGGGTAGTCCTCCGCCCGGCACTCGATCTCCTTTGGCTGCCGGCAGACCTGCTTGCCGGCGGCGCGGATGTGCTGGTAGGTTTCGAAGTCTCCCTGGCTGGGCCCCGAGGAGGGGAAGTCGACGTCGAACCATTCGCTCCAGGTGCACACTTCGGGTTCACAGGGGGTGGTGGAGGAAGTTGTCGTCGACGTCGTCGGCGTGGGGATGGTGGTGCTGGTGGAAGTGATGATTTCCGTGGAGGTGGGACTCGTGGTGGTGGAGATGTATGGCGTGGAGGTGGAGGTGGTGACCGTGGTGGTGGAGGAGGGGATCGATGTGGTCGTGGTGCTGGTGGTGGGGCTGGTTGTTATCACGGGGACTGTGGGGAATGAGCAGTTGTAGTTGGGGGTGCAGCAGAGCACACGGATCTTGTAGTTGAGGCACATCTTGAACTTGCCCGTCTGGTCCTCGTTCTTGCACACCAGCCCAAAGTGGACGTCGCACTGCACGACCTGCCCCACCTGCTGGATGGCAACGTCGGGGTAGTCCTCCGCCCGGCACTCGATCTCCTTTGGCTGCCGGCAGACCTGCTTGCCGGCGGCGCGGATGTGCTGGTAGGTTTCGAAGTCTCCCTGGCTGGGCCCCGAGGAGGGGAAGTCGACGTCGAACCATTCGCTCCAGGTGCACTCTTCGGGTTCACAGGGGGTGGTGGAGGAAGTTGTCGTCGACGTCGTCGGCGTGGGGATGGTGGTGCTGGTGGAAGTGATGATTTCCGTGGAGGTGGGACTCGTGGTGGTGGAGATGTATGGCGTGGAGGTGGAGGTGGTGACCGTGGTGGTGGAGGACGGGATCGATGTGGTCGTGGTGCTGGTGGTGGGGCTGGTTGTTATCACGGGGACTGTGGGGAATGAGCAGTTGTAGTTGGGGGTGCAGCAGAGCACACGGATCTTGTAGTTGAGGCACATCTTGAACTTGCCCGTCTGGTCCTCGTTCTTGCACACCAGCCCAAAGTGGACGTCGCACTGCACGACCTGCCCCACCTGCTGGATGGCAACGTCGGGGTAGTCCTCCGCCCGGCACTCGATCTCCTTTGGCTGCCGGCAGACCTGCTTGCCGGCGGCGCGGATGTGCTGGTAGGTTTCGAAGTCTCCCTGGCTGGGCCCCGAGGAGGGGAAGTCGACGTCGAACCATTCGCTCCAGGTGCACACTTCGGGTTCACAGGGGGTGGTGGAGGAAGTTGTCGTCGACGTCGTCGGCGTGGGGATGGTGGTGCTGGTGGAAGTGATGATTTCCGTGGAGGTGGGACTCGTGGTGGTGGAGATGTATGGCGTGGAGGTGGAGGTGGTGACCGTGGTGGTGGAGGACGGGATCGATGTGGTCGTGGTGCTGGTGGTGGGGCTGGTTGTTATCACGGGGACTGTGGGGAATGCGCAGTTGTAGTTGGGGGTGCAGCAGAGCACACGGATCTTGTAGTTGAGGCACATCTTGAACTTGCCCGTCTGGTCCTCGTTCTTGCACACCAGTCCAAAGTGGACGTCGCACTGCACGACCTGCCCCACCTGCTGGATGGCAACGTCGGGGTAGTCCTCCGCCCGGCACTCGATCTCCTTTGGCTGCCGGCAGACCTGCTTGCCGGCGGCGCGGATGTGCTGGTAGGTTTCGAAGTCTCCCTGGCTGGGCCCCGAGGAGGGGTAGTCGACGTCGAACCATTCGCTCCAGGTGCACACTTCGGGTTCACAGGGGGTGGTGGAGGAAGTTGTCGTCGACGTCGTCGGCGTGGGGATGGTGGTGCTGGTGGAAGTGATGATTTCCGTGGAGGTGGGACTCGTGGTGGTGGAGATGTATGGCGTGGAGGTGGAGGTGGTGACCGTGGTGGTGGAGGACGGGATCGATGTGGTCGTGGTGCTGGTGGTGGGGCTGGTTGTTATCACGGGGACTGTGGGGAATGAGCAGTTGTAGTTGGGGGTGCAGCAGAGCACACGGATCTTGTAGTTGAGGCACATCTTGAACTTGCCCGTCTGGTCCTCGTTCTTGCACACCAGTCCAAAGTGGACGTCGCACTGCACGACCTGCCCCACCTGCTGGATGGCAACGTCGGGGTAGTCCTCCGCCCGGCACTCGATCTCCTTTGGCTGCCGGCAGACCTGCTTGCCGGCGGCGCGGATGTGCTGGTAGGTTTCGAAGTCTCCCTGGCTGGGCCCCGAGGAGGGGAAGTCGACGTCGAACCATTCGCTCCAGGTGCACACTTCGGGTTCACAGGGGGTGGTGGAGGAAGTTGTCGTCGACGTCGTCGGCGTGGGGATGGTGGTGCTGGTGGAAGTGATGATTTCCGTGGAGGTGGGACTCGTGGTGGTGGAGATGTATGGCGTGGAGGTGGAGGTGGTGACCGTGGTGGTGGAGGACGGGATCGATGTGGTCGTGGTGCTGGTGGTGGGGCTGGTTGTTATCACGGGGACTGTGGGGAATGAGCAGTTGTAGTTGGGGGTGCAGCAGAGCACACGGATCTTGTAGTTGAGGCACATCTTGAACTTGCCCGTCTGGTCCTCGTTCTTGCACACCAGTCCAAAGTGGACGTCGCACTGCACGACCTGCCCCACCTGCTGGATGGCAACGTCGGGGTAGTCCTCCGCCCGGCACTCGATCTCCTTTGGCTGCCGGCAGACCTGCTTGCCGGCGGCGCGGATGTGCTGGTAGGTTTCGAAGTCTCCCTGGCTGGGCCCCGAGGAGGGGAAGTCGACGTCGAACCATTCGCTCCAGGTGCACACTTCGGGTTCACAGGGGGTGGTGGAGGAAGTTGTCGTCGACGTCGTCGGCGTGGGGATGGTGGTGCTGGTGGAAGTGATGATTTCCGTGGAGGTGGGACTCGTGGTGGTGGAGATGTATGGCGTGGAGGTGGAGGTGGTGACCGTGGTGGTGGAGGACGGGATCGATGTGGTCGTGGTGCTGGTGGTGGGGCTGGTTGTTATCACGGGGACTGTGGGGAATGAGCAGTTGTAGTTGGGGGTGCAGCAGAGCACACGGATCTTGTAGTTGAGGCACATCTTGAACTTGCCCGTCTGGTCCTCGTTCTTGCACACCAGTCCAAAGTGGACGTCGCACTGCACGACCTGCCCCACCTGCTGGATGGCAACGTCGGGGTAGTCCTCCGCCCGGCACTCGATCTCCTTTGGCTGCCGGCAGACCTGCTTGCCGGCGGCGCGGATGTGCTGGTAGGTTTCGAAGTCTCCCTGGCTGGGCCCCGAGGAGGGGAAGTCGACGTCGAACCATTCGCTCCAGGTGCACACTTCGGGTTCACAGGGGGTGGTGGAGGAAGTTGTCGTCGACGTCGTCGGCGTGGGGATGGTGGTGCTGGTGGAAGTGATGATTTCCGTGGAGGTGGGACTCGTGGTGGTGGAGATGTATGGCGTGGAGGTGGAGGTGGTGACCGTGGTGGTGGAGGACGGGATCGATGTGGTCGTGGTGCTGGTGGTGGGGCTGGTTGTTATCACGGGGACTGTGGGGAATGAGCAGTTGTAGTTGGGGGTGCAGCAGAGCACACGGATCTTGTAGTTGAGGCACATCTTGAACTTGCCCGTCTGGTCCTCGTTCTTGCACACCAGTCCAAAGTGGACGTCGCACTGCACGACCTGCCCCACCTGCTGGATGGCAACGTCGGGGTAGTCCTCCGCCCGGCACTCGATCTCCTTTGGCTGCCGGCAGACCTGCTTGCCGGCGGCGCGGATGTGCTGGTAGGTTTCGAAGTCTCCCTGGCTGGGCCCCGAGGAGGGGAAGTCGACGTCGAACCATTCGCTCCAGGTGCACACTTCGGGTTCACAGGGTGCGGTAGGTGAATATGTTGTAGTTTTTGTGGTTGTGCGGCTTAGTACTGGTGTTGTAGTAGTTGGTTTTTGAGTTTGCCTTGTAGGTTTTGATGTTATTCTGGTGTGTATGTAATCTGTGTTTGGTTCAACTGTGTATTCTGTCGTTGTCTTGTGCTTTGTTTGCAAACTTAGAGTCGTTGATTCTGGTGTGGAAATTGTACTTAATGGAATAGTAGTTGGTTGTGTTGTTTTTGTCAGAATTTCAGGGGTTGTTTCACATGGCACTGGTATATTCACACAGCATTTAAATCTTAATTCATAATTATAGCAGATTGGTGGAAGTTGATCTTTATTGTAACATTTCAACCCTTCTTCTGTGTTACATATTATGTGTTGCTCTAGTAGAGGATATGGTGTATTCGGGAACCGTACTGCTCTACATTCCACATCCTTTCTATTGTTGCAGACTTTGTATCCGTTATTTTCAATGTTCTCAATCGTGTCAAAATCTCCATCATCGTAACCTGACCCTGGATAACTTACATCATACCATCTTGACCAGTAACACTTTTCTTTGAAACAAAGAGGAGTTGTTGGAGGAGATGTGGTGACAGGTGTTGTGGTTCTAGTTGTTTCTTCAGTAGGTGAAGGTATCAATGTTGTACTTTCAGTAGGAACTGAATACGTTGCTTCAGTAGATGTTTCTGTCGGAATTGGAGTTGTGACTGGGGTTGATGCGCTGAAAGGCGTTGTGGAAGAGCATGGTACAAAAACACAGCACAGGATTCTGATTTGGTAGTTGTTGCACATTGTTGAAATTTGATCCTTGTTGTAACATATAAGCCCTCGTGTTGTACTGCATTCTACTTTTTGGCCAAGGTCTTTCAGTGGTATATCAGGGAACTTTTCTGCTCTGCATTCAATAGCCTTTGGAGCTTCACAAACTTCATAACCTTTTGCTCGTAAATCATTGAAAGTTTCAAAATCTCCTCCATCATAGCCAGGGGTTTGTAGACTCCCATCGTACCATTCGGACCACTTACAGACTTCATGAACACATACTGATGTAGTTGGTGACACTGTGAAGGAGAAAAGGCAAAGGAAGACACCATGAAATTAAGAATTACTTCCTGTAGATGCTATTTTTTTTGTTGTTAAATGTAAAATTTTGTAAATTTTTTTTTTGTTTTAAATGGGCTGACAGTTTTCCTAATGTCATTTGTCTTACATTATGCTCCTGTTGTGCATCAGTTTATTTTAGTAAATTGTAGAACAGAAAATCCATCACCCAGCAATTTAATGTACTGACGTGCTTGGAACTGTCACTTCCCAAGAGAATACTAATTATGTTTTACAAGGCGCTAAAATAAGGCTGAGGTAGAATTTATGTGCTCTGGAAGAAACCCAAGTCTCAATTGCTTTGCAGTTGGTTCAGTGTATTTGCTTTTGTTCTATCTTGTTTCAGTATATACTAGTCTCTCTGGAATGCATTAAAATCCGTGGAAAGAGTAACTTTTATAGTATGCATCAAAATTCATTGCTACTTTTTTCTTCCAAATCTTGGCTCCTCACTCAGTGCAGAGCAGTCTTTGTTCCTGTATTTCAAACCTTCCTACACTTTGTATTTTAGCTCTGATCTGAAGAAACCATTTATTGGTTGGAGAGGTTTTGCGGGTGAAGTCTCATTATGAAATAGATGGAAAATAGATACTGAATTCTAGCAATGCTGGTAGTTTCTGTAATTTCAAAACTTATATATTTTATACTGAATGCTGATTTCTGAAAACAACATATGCCCAGAGTAATTTGAGATTCCCAACCTGAAGAATGCTGTACAGGAATTCTATTAACCAAAATTTCATTATCTCAATGCCAATATCTGAGCAATCCACTTAGTACTGTAAAATATATTTTCCTCACTAAACAAGAGAATACAATCTTAGTGGCTACAAAGGACGTACCTGTGGAAGTAGTGGTAGGTGGTGTAGACGTGAAGTGAAATGTCGTTGATGTTGTGGGTGACGTTGAGGTTAGACAATCATACATAAACCTCTGAAGTGTTCCATTGGGACCACAGGTTGCAACAATACACCATCCTGTGCCATCTGTAGTGTTGTAGACCACATCTTTGTAGTTGTACTTCTGCCCCTCATAAATGCAGACACATTCTGTAGATTAAAACAGGATGTTAGTTGTTGCTACCTGAAACAGAGAGTACCCTAAATGTGTCTTATTCATATCAAAATTACTTCATCAACATACCATGTTCATCATATCTGCATACTTTGCCATGAATTGTACATTCACTGAAAAAGAGAAAAACAGATTATGAGTCTGGACATACTGGTTCATGACATAATTTTTTTGTTATAATTTTTCTTCTATCAATCCTTTGCTATTCACTGTGTGTTTAAATGTACAGTGATCCTATCTTGTGTGAGTTAGGCAGTCAGTTCTGCTATACAAATTGAGGCTAGGTGTTTATATTCAGGCTGCAAGTTCTCTGGCAAGAAAGGTAGCTCTTCTTTGAGCCAGCATATACAACCTGCAGCATCCCTACCAGTGGTTTTGGGAGCAGGACAAAAAGTGTGAGATGGATGATTTGAAATCCTATCTCCCCAATAGGTCTGTTTTTTGGAGGAGAAAACCACAGTGGATTTGCATTTAAAAGGATATATACAAAGGATTACTACCATGGATGTTGAGGTAGCCTACACAGTGAATTACCATTAGGCTTCCAAAATATGCAAGAAGAATTCTGGTTTTAAGGGCAATTTATCTATGAAGAACTGAACCTTGATGCATTTATTTACAGGCATTAAGGACATCTATACACTGAATAAACTGAAATTAGGACATGTATTTAATGGATTAGGTTTAGTGCTGTTAATGGCCTAGATTATATTGTCCAAGGCATCTATGAAATGCAAAATCTGCCAAGGACATTGGTTTAGCTCCAATGGGCTTTGGCTTAGGATTTTTGCTATTCAGATTGCTTACCATATTCAAGTGTAGCTACTTTGAAGGTATCTTAAGAGAGCTGCTTCACAATTGGATTTGCTAACTCTGTACTTAAGCCTTACAGAAGGCTTAGCAGCACTTGTCACCGGTAATGCGTGAGGATAGGTGCTGACTGTTGCAACTATGCAATAACAGAAACAAGCTCAAAACAATGCACATGAGTTGGCTGCTCACTTCTAACGAATTTCACATAATGAGTTTAGGTATATCTTTTTAAAAATTCTCAGACTATTCCCTAACTAAAATTATTTTAGCTTGTTTTTCACGTCATTTAATAATGATAACAACTTTAAAGGACTTTAACAGATATACAAAATAAGTAGTAAATTGATATCTTGATGATAAAATGTTTCACTAATGTTATCATTTAATTTCCTGGGAAGGGAAGAAAATTAGACATTTACTGGCCTAGTTGCTGTTGGTAATTAACAAATTTAGCCTGATGAATTGTCTTCCACAATTTTAAGCTCTATTTTTAAAATTCTTTTCTAATCCTACCATGATTCACAATTTTGCTTTGAAGGCATCTCCATTCCTGGTTTGTAATTTTTTCCATCTTCATAACAACCACAATAAGAAACACAGGTCATGGTTTCCTCATCAAAGTAGGGCTTATTCTTTGGACATTGTGGATAGCAACCTGCAATAAAAAGAGAGTCAAGTTGACAGTAGGCCTTTCATAAGTATAAAGAAGTCTACACTCATATCTGATTTTCCCAAAATGTGCTACATGGTAAGTGGAATGTCAGATCCTCTTACTGCTATTCCTTTGGTAGCACATTATGCTTTGGAGTATTTTGTCCTCATCTTCATTCCAAACAAGTACATAATCCATTAGAGAATACAATACTAATTAGAAAATATTTTCTTATAATTTCTAGTGCAAACATGTAATACACTGAGTAATACAAATTTTGTTCACTATACTGCATTTTAACCTTTCAAGTAGAATGAGATATGCATAATTATGTTTACCTTCCAAACCCCTCATCTCATGAAGGCATTTCCCACTTGGATTATTGCAGGTCTTCATACAAGGTGCTCCACATGGCTTGTAGTGCCACTCACATTCCCCTTGTGGATTATAGTAATCGCAGAAGAGAGCTAGAAGAAGAAATGCCAGAAAAAAATATCTGTGATGTTTGAGCTCTATACTGTTTCCATTTTTCTAGGTAAAAATTCAGTGGGATCAGCATGGCCTCATAGGTTGTGAACAACATCTCGTTTTATTGCTAGTGCAATACAATTGTTAAATTTCTAAAATGTTTTGACACCAAAGAATATATTCATTATAGAACAGTTACACATTAAACATGAAAAATCAGTTGACTGAATCACTGATCTTAGCTAGTGTACACTAGTTTTTATTTACAAGGAACCTGCTGTAGACATATGGCAATGTAATAAAATATCATATTTCACCAGTATTGTATCATAATTGTCAAGTTAATTAGACACTAATCACACTGCTTGTAAAATTACTAGCTGTGGTTTCATTTTACTAAGATAGTTGGGTAAATTAGTAGAAGACAATCTGCTTTGTTGGGGTTTTTTTTAGGGTGTTTGTTTGGGTTTTTTTTTTAAGCATACAGCTGTGTTTCTTAGAAATACAATTTTTTCCTTCCTTTCTTGTTTTACTTTGTTTCCTTTTTTTCCCCCCTTCTGTTTTCTTTCTCTCTGAACCCCTTAAAGTAGTGGGTTGAAACTCACGACAAATGGATGGGGTTCTCCATGATATGCAGATGTCTAGCTCATTACATGCTTGAGCATAGGCAGCTACTGCTGTGCAGAAACATTCACAGTCTCCTCCAGTGTCACAGGCACAAGCATCATCCACACATGCTTGGTAATATTCATTTGGTTCAACCTGATAGAGAAAACATTCAAGTTTTCATGCCCTTGTCTTCTTTGACCTGTCCTAAAATAGCTGAATAAGATATCTGAAACTCATAGGTCTGTATTAGAGAAAGCTAAGAAAGGAAGAAATAATGAGAATGCTTTGAGAAATCAAGAGGAAAACATAGAATAAAGCTATTGCTAGTAAGCTGCAATATTAAGAACTGTTTGGTCTTGAAGACATATGCAAAATACTGGTAATTACTATAAGCTAGTAGAGAGTCATATCAGGTGGCTGATATTTGTATTAGTAGAGAATTATGCTGTTAGCAAATAAACATATCTTGAGATTTATCTACTGTTGCTCCTTCAATTAAAACAAACAAGCTAACCAACCAAAACAATACATTTCTTTAGTGTACTTGCTCAAGACAAAAGCTGAGAAAATGAAAGTGAAAGTATTTCTGTGCAGGAACTTGGTCAAACTTCACTTTGTCAAGCATGACAAAATGTACGTAAGAGTATTTTTTAATCTATTCCACATAAAAATGGATGGAATCATTTTGTCAAGAATTTAAAACTAAATTTTTTGTCATACCTGTGAGTGACACTTTGCAAACACTTCACTGGTGATGATGCTGCATTGCTTCTGTGCCCAGGCTTTCCTGTATGGGTTTGCAGTGCATGGATCCTGCGTGCGATTGGCATTTGGGCAACTAGAAGATACTTTCCAGCTATTGGCAAACTCCAGCACGTTTCCTACCACAGACTGACTGCGAGTAGTGAAGTCATTATTTCCATTGCCATCATAGTTTCCACAAAGTCCACAGACCTGGTCCTGCATCAGGATAAACAAAATGACAAAGATCAGTAAGGCACAATTTCTTAGTATCTGTGAGAAACAGACCTCAGGACAACTCGTAGGTAGCCATCTTATATAAGATTATTAATGCCTATTTAGTAACAGTGTTGGACATTTTCATAAAACACTTTTCAGGAAGAGATGTCTCTAGCTAGTTGTTAGAAAGCAGAAATAGACTGATGGTTTTGTTTTAAGTACAGAGCTATTTAGTTTTAGTTGATCCTAAAACTGTCTCTTCAGTGAGGGTTTTCCATGAAGAAAGTACTGATAAAGTTGCTGTTATGCCTTTGCTGAATAATGTAATTTAAGGATAATGCATAGTACACAATTTAAATTAACATAACAAGGATAATATGTGATTTCTGCTTTTCTGGTTTGCAGCCTAAATTTCCACTCTCTTTCTTTGAGAGATAATATGACTATGTTACAGAAGTAATTTTATTCATGTTTTCACTTTTAAAGTATACCTGAAAGCTGGGACTAAGTTTGATGAATATACTGGTTTTCTTGTCCCACATGAGTATCAGACCAACAGTAGTATCAACCACCAGGTAGATGCCCATGGAGCGGATTTGGAATGGCATTTTTCCTCCAGGTGTCCTCTGGATGACATCAGAGTGTCCGTCACTGAGTACCAGCTCATAGTTCTAAGACAGGAGAAGAAAAAGTTAGAGACCAATTTAAAAGTCACTATTTTGTAGCTGTATATATTGACAGTAACTTCTTGAAATAATATCATCAAGAGGATCCTATTCAACAACCTCAGGTTAAGCAATTTCTTTCTAGATTTCCCACCTTTGCTTTCTAGAGCAGAGAGCAAACAAAGAGTCTAGTGACATTTTCATTATGTTGGAGGCCACTTCTCCTATGCAGTCTATCTGGGACAGCTTGTTCCATCCTTCTGGCACAATTTAAAGAAAATACTTACACCCAGGAAAACTTTAATAGACTTAGAGCAGGTAGTTCCTGTAGTGCCACATGGAATGTTCTCAGTGATGACTCTGAAGGTTCCCTGGTTCATAGCTTGTTGACCACAGTAGTTCTGAAACAGGATAATGATATTCACTGTTTACTATATTGAAGGTAGTTAGAGCAAAGGTATTTAGAGCAAAAGTCTAGGCAACACTTTCTTACCTGGACCAGAACATATTCACAGTCTCCTTCAAAATCAAAGCGTTTGCCATCAAAAGTGGTATAATGCCCATCTCCATAAACAGAACATGTTTCTAGGCAGGGTTCCTCAGAGCATTGCCATTTTCTGTTTCTACATGTGCTAAACAGGACAAAAAGCACTCCAAATGTAAAAACTAGACAAATACACAATATAAATATAGGTACATTTCTGTATTTTAATGTGTGTTAAGATTCTAATGAAAAAATGAGGTTTGCTTATTCTCAAAAATGCAACATAGCTCAAGAACTATTGGAATTTATGCAAGGACTGTGTTACTTAATGTAATGAATCAACTGCATCAGAAGACATCACTTTTCCAGATCCTGTTGGATCTATTGAAATGGAAGGATTTCCTTGGAAGAAAGAAAATTTTTTTACTTGAATGAACATGACAACACCAAAGCATGGTGGTTTTCTGACAACTTGCAATTTCTGGGCTGTGCCATTGAGAAAAGTAGACAGAGCTTACTTTTTAGGTACTAAGTGCATTGTTTTATGCAGGATTCTTTCCTAGAAATCTTGATACTGCTAGAGTGAAATGATGTTATTTGCTTAGATCTTAAGCAGTTCTATTTTTTTATTTCCAAAATATTATTTTTCAATATGCTCTTACCAGTTGTTACAGCCAACTCTGATTGATTCTCCTGCACTGTAGGAATTCCCATTGTGAATACATGGACAGTCTTCTGGAGCAATGCAGCCACCTTTGCCATCCAACACTTGATCATGAGGACATACGCAGCCAGAGACACAGTGAGTTTTGTACTGTAAGCACCATAAAGAAAAGATGTCTTGAAACATTCCCATGGTGGAAGAGTCCAGCTGTAGCTGGTAATTGTAAAAGATATCTTGTATAATATACTTTCAACTAGGTATAAAGAGTCTGTACTTACACATTCCATATCTAGAGTCTGACAACTCTTCTGGCATCCTGCTCCTACTACATTTGCAGTGACATTGCCACAGTCAACATAAACCATGGGAGGCACACAGACTGAAAGAGAGGAAAAGCCATGAGAAATGTGAGGCCAACCATGCATTTGTATCTTTGTGTTTCCAAGAAAAAGTGGAAATACTCCTTTGTGAATTATGTGTACCTTAATGCGATGCGTGTAGTGAGAGAGAGAAACCAAATATTGTTTTGATCTCATATTTACGTGATTTTTGCAATTATGCTTGGACTACTCAATAAAATGAATTTTTGTTTAGCTTCATGAAACACTTCCTTTCAGAAAAACAGAACAAAGCAGGATAACAAATATCCTTGTTTACTTGTTCGGGTTTTTTTGGGTTTTTTTGTTGCTTTGGGGTTTTTTGCTTTTACATTTTAATTAAAATGTGAATAGTTTTCCTCTCACACTGAGTGCGGTGACTAAGTATCCTTTTACCCTGGTAACCCAGGGGGTTCTAACTTGTTTCAGCCACCAGAAAGGTAAGAGAGTGTTTCTTTATATTTTGAGAATGTCCTCTACATTACAGAAGACCTCAATTAATTTTCTTCGTTGATTTCAGACTTATACAATTTGCATCACTATGAGGAGAATAAAGAAATTAAACTAGTGATGATAGAAAGGGAGAGTTAAAGAAAATCTTAAGTGATATGTTACCTGGTTCAGGCTTCTCTCCAATGCAGCTCAGCTTTCCATAGGCACAAGTGCTACAAAAAGAAGGGAATGGATATTTTAAAATTTTTTGTTGTTAAGTTTCAACCTATTTCCCAATGAACTTGAAATAATGGAAAATTACTGTGTGATAAAACAAATAAAATGTGTCCTTTATAAAATAGTTTGCACATTTAAAATATTAATATCCTATATTAGAGGAGAACAAAATACAAGTAGATTCTATATAATTAAATGTTTTCTCTGTCTATATGCCTGGTTTAAAGCTGTCCTTCAGAATAGTTCAGATTTCCATATAATGGGAATAATCTGTAACAGGATGATCAGGCATCTTTCACTATGGAACAAACCTTTTCCAGTCTTGGATAAGAAAAGTATGTGTGGAGGCAAGGGAGGAAGGGAGGCATAGAGAAAGGGACAGGGTGGGAGTTTGGCTGTCAGGAAAGGCTGACCCACCACAGGACTGTTTGTTGAATTCCTGTAGTTACTTATGTGCAATCTTCCTAACATGGGTAGCCCTAAGAATTTAGGAAGCTGTGATTTTTTTAATTGAAAATTTTTGTTATAGAAATTATTTTGATTTGATTTCATGACATTTATATAGTTTCATGACTGCCTATATCCAATCTCTTCACTAGTTTTTACAAATCTCTTACCAGACAACACCATTATCATGAACAACTTCTCCAGAAGACAGAGGCGTTCCTTTGTAGTAACAAGGACAGCTAGAAGCAGGCACACATTTGCCACTGTCATCCATGTAGGTTCCATTTATGCAGGTACAGCCATCAACTGGGACAAACTTGATGCTGCATGTGACATCAGGCTCACTGAGAGCGCGGCAGGTGGGCTGGCAGGAATTGACACTGTAGGTGTACTTCAAGGACTTCGGACACAAGGTGGTGTATTTTGCTTGAGAGCAAGAAGGTGAGTCATATTTGTTGTTCATTCAAGAATCAACATAGGTATAAAGTATTTGAGATAAAGTATGCAAGATAAACATGGCATTTTATGTACACATACTTTACTAATATCCCCAGTAGCGTAATTTTTTGTGGTACTACAGCGAAATTTTCCCTTATAAATGCGTCATATGTTTACCCATGTAAAAAAAAAAAAAAGGTTTGATTATATTATGACACACTATATTTCTTCCTGTATGTTTTTATACTTTTTGTCAAAGTAAGTTGAGAAACACCCTACTTATTTTATTCCTATTGCAAAGGTATTGCTCTTCAGGTTTTTTCTGATGGTTTTGAGCAAGTAATCTAACAAAGACTGGTTTTAACATTTCTCCTTGTTTGCTGTCTTTTATAGCATTCCTTTCCTACTCAGTTTCTTCAAAGTCAATGCTATACTTGAACCCCAGTTTAACACAATTTACTGTGGAATCCCTGAGAGCTCCTGTGTGGGGCCTTCTGGGCGATCATTTTCAAAAGGCAAACGGGATGTAAAACTCACTGCAGGCTTTGCTCCTCCATCCAGTGAGAAGAACTCCTTTGGCAGCACAGGCTCTGACATAGCTGGAAAGGGCAGCACACATGCAGTCCTCGCTCTTCTCACAGTTACACGTGTCAAACATACAGGTCTAGGAACAGAGGATGATGTGATCACCAGAACGTCATGTCAAAACCATGGAACTCTGCAGTTGTTTAAGTGTGGTATGTTCATTAGAGGTTAAAGCGAGTGTAATCCACATGTATAAGCCTGATTTTCATTGAGCTCTTTCAAAAGAGATTACTGATGTGAAGAAAAGAGTGATTAGAGGTCCACTATCTTGAGCTATTTTTTCTTTTTATTTTTTCACATGTTGGCAGTTTTCCAACTACTTCAAATTTGTTGCCACTGTGCCATATATATTTAAAATAAATGGAGATTATTTGATGCCACCCAGCTTTTGGAGCTTTTGCCTAGAAGCCTGGGCTCTCTGCAGCAGAGGAACAAAGAATACAAGTTATTTGATGGGTTTCTATGCTGATCAGGGATAATACAATATTATTAATTCCAGATTATGTTTATTGAGCATAATCTTACAAATTTCCAATAACAGGAAGGTTTTTTTAAAGTACCCAGGGACCCTAGTACAGGGTTTCATCACCTTGAATTCCCGGAACATTTTCGTTCACATCTTGTCTAATTTTCATTGTTGCTTTTTATGCACATTGCTTGCCTTGTCCGTGCATTTATGCAAAAGCCTTCTGAGAACAGTTCAGAGAAATTAAAGTGCCAGTTAAGGTTCTGGCTAAAGCTTGCATTATATCTCTCAGAAGGAACAATTTTTATCCTTTGATAGCAAATCCAAACTCCTAACTTAAAGACTAAGTTTATGCCTAAAAATAGGTGCAGGAGGAATACAGCTGTATGCTTATCCTCCAGGGAATAGAAAGAAAGATAGTTTCACAAACGAGGCAATTTCATATTGTGTAGATAAGAATGAACCCTTGGCTTTTAAAGAACTATCATGAATGCTTCCCCTCACAACAGGCAAGTTACTCTCTCAGGTGCTAGTATAAGAAATCTGAGTCTTTTTCTCCTGTATTAGATGGATGGAGTTAGGGCCAAATACCTTATGGTAAACTTCTGGATTCACTGTTGAGTGACATTCAGCAAAAGGTCCTGTGGTATCAGAGAGCAGTCCACACCAGTGCTGAGCATACTGGTCTGTGAATTGAAAACATGGGAAGGATTTCTATGGCAGTGCATTTGCAAAACTCTTGTCTCAACATAACTATACCTCCTCCAGAGAAATTACAGAACCTTAACATTGCAATATAATTAAGCTCTGCATTGGCTGAGGCACACAGTCTTTCACTTCCTCTTGGCAGGAGGAAACTGAACGTTCTCTAATTCATTATAATTGTCATGGAATAGACTAAAGATACCCCTAGCTGAATTTTAAAAAGGAAGGTTCACACTGTAAATTAAAACTATGCTAGTTCATCTCAGAAAACAGAATAGTAGCTGGTGAATACTCAAGAATTATATATTTTGTTGACTGAAATGCAGCTTGAATGCTTTCAGTCTCTGAACTGAAAGTCTGGTTCTTAGTTTAGCAGTGGAAGTACTGCAACCTTCAGAGGGGCTAGGCACAGCTGTGACAATTAGTCATTTCCAGGAATGAATCCCTAATATGCTGTGTGGTTCTAGTTTCCCTTAAGTAAGTTGACTTGCTGTCTTGATCCAAAGGAATATATCTGAAGATCCAAAATATTTCGCTAGTTATTTATTAATTGAAGACTTCTAGTATCAACTGAGGAGAATTGTGTGCATGTGCAAATAGTTCTGTTATTTTGGCTAAATGCTTGGTGGTTGATCAGCTTATTCCATCTTTGCATCTTAAAGGAGAATAGAAGAGATTGCTGAGCTTACCATTTTGTATGCTGACAGTACAGGGGTCCTCAAAAGTATTTTTGGCATCAGGACAATCAGCCCGAGTTTTCCAAGTATTGCCAAAGGCAGCTGAAGTGCCCTCTATCACACCACTGGTGGTTTTGAAATCATCTGTCTGTACATCATTGAAGTTCCCACAGAGACCTAGAAGGAAGCAGATGGTCTGTACAAGTTTCCTCCAGGATGACAGGTGCTGGTGAAGGCAGTTGTTAGGACAAGGTCACTCACCACAGGTCTGCCCTTTATGTGATGGGTCTAAGTCTATAAAAACTTGCATTAAAGGCACAAGTTGAACCTGCAGCTGAAGACCAAAAGTTGTTTGCAGAACTATGAAGAAAGATGAAGGCCTGAAGATGGTGACGTTTGCTAGGGATATAAGAAAAAAATAGTTATAATTTCATTCGAGATGAGCAGTTGAAAATAATTGTTTATTACAGGAACAATATAATAGAGGAATTCTACAGCTGTGTTTGATATGATCGTAGCTTCTGAAGAACTGGGGGGAAAATGATCCTTACAGGATTTCAAATCCAGCACCAAAACAGTCTAACCTAAACACCTAAGCAACAAATGTATACAAAACCTCCACTTTCTGTCACATGTTTTAAAATGAGGGAAGAACACACACTTCTGTTGTTATTTAAAAAGTTGCCTTTGCTATAGCACTATTTAATTGAAGAGTCCAATGGAGTCTGGACCTATTCTGTCCATTCATGGTTTGATTTGTGTTCAGGTGCAGTAGTGTTTGAGAAGAACTGGCATGTGGGAAACTTCAGTGATGAATGTGCTTTCAGAACAAGGACAGGGGAACACAGAACTAATGACTTGAGAAATTGCAGTCCAGTTGCATGTCAGAATTTTTCTTTCCTCTCTTATGACAATGTTTGGATCTGAAAGCGTGCAATAACACAATTTGCTTGAACTAATTAGATATTGCTAAATATAAACCATGATCTTACTGAAGTTAGTGTTGAATAGGAAAATCCTATTACATAAACATGGGAGAGAGTGCTCTATGGCAGTGCTCTGGGTTTGCTGCAGTCTAACCATAGGTAGAATTTATTTTTAGCTTAACTCATGTAATAACATTTTAAAATAAAAATGAGAAATAGAAGTTTTTCAAAGGAACTTACCTGCTGAGAATGGTAACTGTGTGTAGATCATATTCACAAATACACTCCCAGAAGGCTGGATCACAATGTTCTGTCCCCAAGAAAAGACAATTATTATCAAGCAGATAAGTTAAATACTTTCCAAATGTTTCCTATCCAATGCTACTCAAGATAAAGGGAAAAAATGGAGGGAGACTATGATGAGGTTCTGATTCCTGTACTACTTCTGTAATCTTTATTACTGTGTTCCACTGACTGTCCAAGAGAGCAAAAACCAGAATTTATCTAAATAACAGAAAGATAATAAGATCTTCTCTTCTAATGTGCTTACTTTACTAAAAATATTAGGAATAACGTTCAAATTTGATAAAACAAAAAGCAGTGCAAATTTCTTGTCTGTGCTGTTAGGTGTCATTTGCCTTGTCTGTTACTCTTAGAGAACATCTCTATAGGATGTCAGGTGTATGCATTTGCTGCTCACCGTCTGTCCTCCGTTTAGGCTGATGGCCACACCCTTGAGGCATGTCTCAGTGTCAGTCAGGCCACACTTGTGGATGTCCCCCAACACTGTGAATTCATTGCTGTCACAGAGCTTGAAAAAAAACCCAAAGATATTGTTAAAAGGATTTGCTATATTGAAATAGTTATATTAAAAAAAATTCACATGCAAATGAAATTCTTAGCAAAGCTAGCGTTTTAAAAATATTGTTTATTTCATTTCTTCTTGCTCCTATGGTCTAACATATGGCTGGAATCACTAAGTTGGCATTCATGCAGTCTGCACACTGGAAGCTGTGCATTGCTTCTAGCTTTCAGGGGTGAGTTAGACATATTAATCTGAACATTAAAACTTCCTCATGCATTAGTAAGACGAGTTCCTAATGTGTAGGCAATACCTGTTTAGTATGCTAGAGCAGAAGGAGGTGTGCCTTTCTTGCCCACTGCTTATGAGTTTTACCAGGGGGAGAAAAGATTGTTTCCAATGTCTTCTGCACTGAATAGATTATTCAAGACCCTGGTGATTTGGACATTCTTTAAATATCCTCTCATGGAAAATGAAACTAAAATTATTATTCAGGAAGTTAATGCATAAAGGTTCAGATTTCTGCTCAGTTCTGATTTTCATAGAACTGTGTTCATCTTCAAAGTGTGCCTAATGGCCAAAATAGAATAGGGAAAGACTCAGAGAAGGCTGTAATTCTGAATGTGTCTTATCACTTTTTTGGCATATTGAAGATTAAATTGAGGACAGCTGAGATGCATAATTATAGCAATCTAGAAATTCAGTATTAAATTCTGGGGCTTTTTGAACTTTTGTGTACAAATTTAGGGGTTTTCCTCTGCCTCCAGACACCCTGAGAATCTAATTTTACATGTTGGTGCCAAAAGGAGGAGTTTAATGTGTAAGTCTGACCTATGCTGCCATTGTGCATCAAGGCAGTGCTTGTGAATCTTATCCAAAAGTTTCAATGATTTAAATAATTTAAACTTTTGGATAAGATTTCTGCATCATCTCATTCTAGCTCATTTCTAAGATTTTATGATTCTTTTGCTTGGTAACATTCAGATCAATCATGTCAAGAGCAGATTTTATTTAATATGAAGTCCTTATGAGAATAGTTTAGTCATTCAGTAAAAATAAACAATGAATACACCTAGGGTTATGAAATCTAATAAAAACTCAGTGCAAATCCTAAAAAATTATCAAAACCCACAAAAATACTACAATATTATTTAGTATAACCCTAACAGAAAAGTCCCTGAAATTCATTTAGGGGTGTTAACCCTATAACCATGTTAACCCTCAATGACTCAGAAAACTGATGTGATTGCCAGAAGTTTTCATCAAAAAAACATTATATACAATAAAAACATTTTCCTTTAGCAAGGATTGTGACTCATTTTTACCTTGGTTAGGACATAACTACAGTCTCCAAAGAAGGAATAGTATTTCTCATCAAATGTTGAAATGTGGGAACCTCCTTCAATACTGCAAGTCCCAGGGCACGACTGAGTGACACAAGACCATTCACCTCCAACACAGGTACTGAAATGAAGGAAGCATTAGTAAAATTGGAGTAATGCAAGTGCAAACAAAATAAAAAGGCAATAAGAGCAGATGATGCCCTAGTTTTCCTCTTGAAACACTGATCACACTGCCAAAGAAAGCAGTATTGCTTAGAAATCTCAGACAAATATGGGGCAGGCACATTTATGTTAAGGTGATAACTTTCTATATATATTGTTGTTAATTTCCAATCTTTGGACAGAATTCGGTCCTGGTGAACTTGTAATCCATGTCAAATATTTTAAGTATTTCTTGGAAAATAAATAAATAGGCAGGTGCAGTTGCATACACTTATGCAGTAATACTTCAGTAATTATAGGGATAATAAAAAATATATATTTGTTAAACATGCCCCTCAAATGTGAACTCCCACACTAAATGTAACATGCCCCCAAATGTCATGATCTCCACAATATTTATATGAGTACCTTCGCATTACACTGTAGGGCTGCAAAGGTGTAGCACTAATTCACATTTTTAAACACCTCTGGTATTTGACTTTGATTATCTTCCTTCATTGGTATTTCTTGAAATTAAACAGGTGTTCAAAAACTCAAATTTTTGTTCCAAGTGTGAAGGGAAAACAAACATGAAAGCGACCTCTAAAGCAGTGTAATTATGGAACTTCAATTGGTAAGTACTTGCTCATTTGTTTTTTATGGAGAAATCAGTGAATATTCAGCTCATGCACAAAAAAACCCCAACTCAAAACCAAAAAAACCCAAAAAACCAGAAAGCGAGAAAATATTACCATGATCTGCATTTAGATGAGAAGGAGGCACCAGGAGCATAAGTTTCACCTTCATAGGTACAGTGGCATTCTCTGCGGGGAATGCAGCCGGCACCATTAACATCATCAAATACCATTCCTAGGGAAAGAAAGGGTCTGTTATTTATTCTGTGCACTGCAGAACCTGCCTTTGAACACATATCTAGCAGATGCCTAAGACTATGTCCTGTTTCTGCTGTACTTTAAAATAATAGAACACAAGCTATGTGGAGATTGAAGGGCTATATTCCATTGGAATCTATTTAAAAATCTTAGTGTGATCAAAAGGGACCTCTAGGAAAATACCTTTCTGTTACGGATTTCATTAGAATGGAATTAGGATTAAAACTATTAGGTAATGAGCTGAAATAGATGAACCATTTACAAGACTGCCCAGGGACATATCTGTACAGTAAATATTTCTATGCCCAGAGACAGAGGATTGCCTTAGAGAAGTCAATGCTACTACACAAACAAGTGATGGTGAATTCTGTGAGACATCATGGGGATGGGCAGAACAGCTGCAAGGGGTGAAGCTCCTGTGATATACAGTCACAACAGCAACAAAAATTTAGACCCAGAAGTATGCACAAAGAACACATCTATCTTGTACTGATATGCAGTTCTTGTGTGTAATTCTCTGAAGCATCAGATCTAACACACTGCCTAGTGCTCTGTCAGCTCCTTGCTCCTATGTATAAACACATAACACTTGACAAGAAGGATTTGGTCATTTGTGAAACTAGATGTAGCTTTGCTAGCAGCAGGAGTTATGATTGTGTGCAAAATCTGCTTAAACATTTTATACTTTCTGTGAACTGAGTTTGAACGCTGAGAATAGAAGACTCTGCTGTTTTTAGGAGCAAATTATCTTATTCTAAGTTCAGTGATTTTATATATATACATAAAGTATATATATAAGGAATATTTATTGTTTAAAAGGCCATATTTAGTAATTTGAATAGAAATAGTGCATCCAGGGGAGAAATGTAGCTATTACTTCCACGATAATAACGCTGATGATGTGATGGGAATGATCCAGAGTAAGAGAGTTATTAAATGTGTACAGGTGAGTACTCTAGGGGGGTTGGTATGAGAAAAGGGCAGGAAATGAGCTTGCCTGGAGGACAGACACAGCCATCTGTACAATGATCTTCACAAAGCGCGGATCGTTCCGGGTTGCTGCACGTGTCGGAGCAGGGAGAGCCACACTCATGGTATTGCATGTTGAATGGACATGATTTGGCTAGAAGTAGAAAGAGTACTATAAAGCTGACTTTTCATTCAAAAGCTGGAAGAAACTTTTTTTTTTGCAATTTAGGTTGTTTTGTATCAAGCTATGACAAGGTATCCTGATCCAAGCAGAGGCTGAAACATTTTAGATTTTCTGATTGATATTGAAAACCCCCTAAACTTCCATATTCCCAAAGTCTTGTGTGTGACCAGGTAAAAACTGGTTATAATTGCATGCACTTTTCAACTGTCTTCTTCAGGGAAAAACCTCACATATGTGAAGTTTGCTAGATGCATAAGCACAGGTGGAGGTCCCTTCCCGAGATACTCACGGCACAGATCTGAGGTTCTCCAGTTCTGGGGCTGTCCACCCGCATGAGCACACTGCCGGGAGTACTCAGCAAAGGTGTTGCACATGCAGAAGTCAGCCATAGAGCTGTCACAGTGGCACAGGTCTTGTATGCAAGTCTCAATGTAGTCCTGGACATTCACAAGCATGTTACAACTTGTAAATGCTTTGCTGGTCAATACTGTCTCACAGATAGAGGCCTAGGAAGGAAAAGAGAGAAGGTAAACTAATGTTAAGAACATATGAAAATAATTACTTGAGGCATGGAGCAGAATAAATCAAGGATTGATCTGGTCCAGAAACCCTTCCAACAGTATCCATAAGCTGATATTTAAGGAAAAATACAACAATAGGGCAAAAACACATGGAACTTCTTTAAATAACTCTAGTAGCTTCCATATCCTTAGTTACTCTCACCTCAGGTCACTTCCCAAGCATTATATCCTTTCTTTATATTAAGACATGCTCAGTAATTTTCTCTTTCAGGAAAATATGCAATCTTCTTGTGGAAGGGGAATGCAAATTTTTGGCATTCCCCTTAGCAAAGAAAACAACATGAAATTAAGAATATTTTTCTTTTGAGACCTACAACTGAGTCATATTCATGTTCTACTTTTTCCCTCTTCTAAAAAGTTTTTTTCCAAAGACAGAGAATGCATTCATAGTGAGAGAACACATTTTGAGAGAGATGTTCTTACAAATTCTCTTGAGCAGTTCATCAGAGAAGTAGGAGGAATAGGATCATCACACTGCTCTGTGGGTCCATCCATCTTCTGCCTATTACCAAACTGTATGGGGGTCAGTTTTGTCTCTGTAAAAAACCAGTTCAAATATTAGAATAACGCTTACTAAATTTTGCATGGAGTTATTTTTTTTTTGTGACACTACCTGCTATGACATGAACAGTGATTACAAAATAATATCACTAAAATATGAAGGGGGAAATATGAACACTATCTATAAAAAACTGGATCATAACTATTGAAAACAAGTAGAAATTTTTATGTGGCAGGTCTTAAAATATCTAACAATGATGGAAGTAGTCTAATTACATCTCAAAGTCCTGACTTTACACAACTGACATCACAGGAATACATAAAGAAGTAATGCCAGTTTTCCAGTTTGTACAACCCACAACCCGTATTAAAGTATATTCTAAGAAGAAAAAAAAAGCACCAGTACTTAATAATGCTTATTATTACTTACTCCCTGAAATAAATTCATTGCTGCCTGGAATGCCATTGAAGTCCCCACAAAGTCCACAAGTTTGATTGGCATATTTCTTATCTAGTTCCACCTAAAACAAAAAAAAAAGCAGGAAGGAAGTTTATAGAAATGGCAGTCTTGATGGTCAGGAGCACAGCCTAATCCAGTACTGCTTATTGATTCTGAGCTGAGCTTGGTGGGGAAAAAGCAGGAAATTGAGAGAAGACAGAACAATACACTAAAAATGGACACAAATGCAAAAGTAACTAATGCCTGCCTGGCTGTAATGTTGCAAAGGTGTAAGCAGACTATTTTCAAAATACAGACTTTTTGCTGTGTTTTGGATGTTTTCTTACCAGGAGGGCATCTTGTCCATTCCAAAGGAAGGTCAATCCCAACTTGGCAGAAACTTTCAAATAGTTGTTACTTCTCTCTATAAAGACTCCCATATGGCTGTAGGGCATCTGGACTCTGGGGAAAGATCATCATAAGTCAGCAGGGGTAGGGACAGAATATCCATTGAATGTTCACAATGATATCCTTTCTCATTCTCTTTGAGAATTTTCAACACATATCTGTGAAGAAATTAGAGTAATAACTACTACAGACAACACAGGTTTTTAATATTTTGTCCATTTCCCATGCATTGCCTCTCATTGTGCAACTGGATCAGCCTTACTTTTCCTGTTGTTCCTTTTGGCTTTTCCATTCAGGGTGTTTTGCTGGGTAAAATGTGAGCATATATCTGTGGTTGTATTTTTCAAAAAAGTGCTGGGAGGCTCTGTTTTGCAGCCAGTGTGCTTCAGGATATTGCTATTTACTCCTTAAAGCATTTGCTAATAAAGGGATAGACTCCAGGCTTTCTGTGTCATGAGTGCCATTCAGGAAGCTGTACCCGAGATAACCTTTAGACTACCTCACTGTACATAGCTGCCATAACAGACAACTCACCGTGGCATAGCTGCCCAAATATTTACCTGGCCTTTTGGGTAGGTTTCACACCCTATGCCAAAGTCAGTGCTATAATTACTACATAGATAGCAAGTTTGAAGAACAGATAATTTTAAAATAATTCAGGTACAAGCTGAAGAGCAGTCACTGCTTTACTGCACACTGTTCAGTGCAAGAACAAAAGCTGTCAAAAATTCCTTGCAGGGATTCTGCTGTGGTAAAATTAATGGAAACTATTATCTCCAAGGGTGTAAAGAATGCAGCTTATAGACTTAATTGCATACATACATACACTATGGTAGCAGTGGGACAGCATATTGGATACAGCTCATCTGAGCAAAACAGCCATGGGGATAATCTGCACAAGTGACACTTAGCTTGCTGTCAAGCCCTCCTTTGTTTTTGTTACTACCTCAGGAAGGACCTGAGCCCTCCCACTGCGTGGGAGCAATGATGAAATGAGGGAAAGGGACACTTGCTCAAAGAGCCCACTGGGAACAAAGAAGGAACATACAGTTTGTTGTCGAGCAGGACAGAGCTGGGGGTCAGTTCGATCACTACTCCTTCCAGCTTCATGATGACGTGAGTGATCACAGTAGCATTTTCCACCATTGCACGCCTAATCTGGATGTTGAAGTCCTCATAGGAAGACTTGCAGTTGGATGCAAAGATGTAATTGCAGACCCCAGGGAAGTAAAAGATGTCCCCATCAAAGGTCTTGAAGTGGAAGTTACCCCATGTGCTGCAAACACGGCCATTGTGATAGGGGTTGCCAGCTGTGGATTCAAAATAAGCAATAAGAATTTTCTGTAGTTTTTTGTAATACCCTCCATGTAGATGTTTTATCCCTCCTGCTTCTTTCACCAGCCTCTTTCCAAAAAGCTCATCTTTTTTCTTTTTTATCAAGCTAATTGTTTGTCATTATTTATTTATTTCAGTTGCTTTTTGTGCTTAATCAGTTTTGCATAGGGATATAGGGCCTAGGATCAAAAGAGATCTCTGGGGTCACTAGATCTAGTGCTCTAGTTCTGATTACTGCCCTATCCCATGTATCCTTTCCTAAATGTATGGAGTCCTCAAGTTTCACCATAAAACCATATAAAAGCTAGTTTAAAACTAGCTGATACTCCTACTTGGGAAGCCCACTCATACCCACAACTTCTAAGTGGCTGGAAGACTTTTGTCAACATCTTCTGAAACATATTCCTGTCCCATGTATGCCTGGTTGTTCTTGTGCCAAAATTACACTTCACCTTGAAGGGGTTCCACCTCCCTACTCCTCCTCCAGCCCATTATAGAAAGCTCCTCTTTCTTTTCAGTCTTCCTTTCCTTGCAAGGATACTCTCTAAAATCCCTGATTATCTTCCCCATCCCTTTCCACATTTACACTCAGCCTGCTTGAATTGTACCCTCTTCCTTGGATAAGGTGTCTCAACAGTTTTCAGCACACTAGTATTTTCCTCTCTTTACTGGAAATATATATAATACCAGGGAAAAACATGTACAATAAGTATACATGTTTAAACATATATATTAATTTTTTTTCTTACAGCTGCATCATAGAGCAGTGAGTCAAAAGCACTGGATTCACATTTAGATTATCTGTGTTACCTGATTAATTAATTCTCTGGTAATTTTTTGGTTTATGATGCTAAAGGTTCTTACACAATTCATTGATTTTTTTTTTTCAGTCACTCCATGCTCTTTGTCATTAACAAGGGCACAGATATCTGAGCCATGACATTTGCTTAACTTACCCTTTACGTTCAGTGCGTTTGGAAAAGGTGGAATGATTGTCACTCCTTGGGATTTGAAAGCTGGTAGAAAATAGAAAGGAGAAAAAATGGCCAGGTTTAATCTTTTCTGAAGTCCTAGAATATGGGTAGAGATTGCCTAGTCTTTTTAGTGAATATTTCCTACTACTAGTTACACTCTAGTGGAAAGTTTCCACAAGGTTTTATTGGTGGTTTTACACAATGCTTTGTGTTCTGTCTTTCTATAAATTTCACTAAGAGCTAAATTGCACAGACTGTAGTACTTTCTTCCACCATTTGTTCAAGACTCCCATCTGATGCTGGCCCTGATATTCTGAACTCAAGAGGAGCAATATGATCCTCAGAGCACTGTATTGTAATACTGATTACAACATCTATTTTTAAATAACCTGTAGCACACATTTTGCAGGGCAGACTTAATGATCAATTATTTCAGCCTGTCATTACTAATACACCCGTCAGCTTTGGATCCTTCCACCCTTATTTTGCACTGTCCAGTTAAGTTTCACGCAGGATCTTGTAGCTTGTAGTACTTAATTATTCTAATGTTTAAGGTAGTTACAGCTTTCTTATTCTCTTGTGAGTGATGCAGTCATCTTGACATAGTGTAAAAAAATGTGCCTTTTATTACCTACTATCAAGTACCTTTGTGATATGTATGTAAACACACACCTCTTCTGAAAATACACTTTTAGATATAAGTTATGTACCTTTTGTGAAGTCAAAGATTAGATAACTGTATCATATCAGTAGAGCAGATCCACTGGGTCAGATCTCAGAGGAAATTCCCAAGCTTAGAGAAATCAGAGATTGTCTGAAAACTGGATATATTTTACAGAGGGCTTCTCTTTTATTGTGTGTGGTATGTGTATAGCTAGGAATCAAAATATTCTTGTAACCTTACAGTTTATCACCTTTATTCAGAAAAAAACTTACAAAGAGATCAGCATAAAAATACCTACATTTTTGTCGCTGCAGGAGAGATGGAGAAACATACTCTGATTTTGTTGGTTGTTCACCACCCTGGGCTTGAACTGGATCAAGAAGAGTAGTAAAGGAAATGTGAATGTCTAATTTTCTTGAATCCCCTCATAATGTCTCAATTATATCTGTTTAAATGTGCAGCACTCCATATATCAAAAATCAAAGAGACGTTTATGTACAAGAGGCCAGAAATGCATCAGGACCTATGCTACATGCAATGATGGCCAAACACTACTCCTTCAGCCTTTTCCTTTTTTAACTTTTTGGGTAATAAATTACTGCAGGAAAGCCATCAAAAGCATGCCTGTGGTGATTTGAGCAGGTCCTTGTTCTGTCACAGTATACCCCTGGATTCCCTTACAAGCTTTTCAGATAAAAGACATAAATTTCTTAGGTTTTATGATCACTCTGTACTTTAAGCATTAGTAAAACCTATTTTTCTAGCTAGATGGCTTTCAAATAAGTCCCGTTTGTACATGAAGAATTCACTTTAGAGTTAGAGGACTGATCTTTGTCAAAGCCAAAGTTACCCTGTATTTTCTAGTTTCAAGCATTCATTGTAATAAGCCACAGAAGGAAAACAAATGCAAAAGCCACACCATACAGAAGGAAATAGGTCTTTCCAGTAGATACATTTGTGCCTGTTGACTTTGGCCCAAAGCAAAGAAACCATTTTTCATTCCATTCCAGTGCAACATCAGAATTAGAATGTATGCATTCTCCAGATGGGCTTTCAGTGCTCTCACTGTTTAGTGAGAGTTCGTCAGAGGGCAGGCTGAGGTGAAGACTATTCTGGCCAAAGTGCAAGGGGAGGCTCACCCCCTGCTGCACCTCACCAGGGCAGGCTGTGGATAGGACCACTGAAGGGGCTAAGGCTGAAAGCAGAGCTGTGGGAACTCTGTGAATCCCCTCCTGGGGAAACAGCTGGGGTTAGAGGACGTGTGTCCCTTTTTAGGGTAGGAACCATTCAGTGCTTCTGGGCTCCTTCAGTGCCCAGCCTCAGAGAGTTTTCTGCTTCTCTCTCCATGAGCTGTGTGACTCTGCTCTGTCTCATGCCACATGCACTGTGCAGATCCCTGCTGCCATTGCATGTTTTGCTAAGGCGACAGCTAGTCCTGTCATAGGCTATTCTTTGACACTACCACTTCTTAACATAAGTTACTGTGGAACTACCTAGGAGCAGGAAAATTATGAAATCATACAATAGGATCTGCACAAGAAATCAAAATGCATTTAAAACTAACATTGTTGCTACATTAAAGGGAAATTATCAGGTGAAAAAAGAAAAAAAATAATTAATGGGGTCTCCATCCATCTGTGACTATTAAGTGAATAGAATATTTATAGCAGTTCCATTTGTTTTCAGCCCACTGCAAACCAACCCTGTGTGCTAAGCTTTATGCAACCTCATAAGCAAGAGTAAATAAATTTTTAAAACCTATTGCCTGATGATTTTAAAGCAAAATCCTCCCTTTCTTCAATACTTTATCATCACCTGACAAATAGTCTTTAATAATTCATGCAGACATACTCCTCCACTGATTTTCTCCTTTCTAGAGGTACCTTTGCGCCTTTTGGGTTGTACATTTAGAAATGCTATGCCACCTTGAAGTGGATATTAAAAGCTAAATGCAAATGTTGAGGCATTTTTTAGACTTATAAGTTCAGAGAAAGTTCCACTCAATGCAGTGGAGCTGTTCCAGATTTCAGCTGGGGAAAAACAGGATGACAGTTTCAAAAGAGTTAATTTTCTCTTCTTAGGAAAGAAAATATTTTTAGCAGAAAATAAAATCTTGCGTGAAGGTAAGAGGTTCATTAACTTCACAAAGCCAGGGGAAAAAAAGCTTCAAACTCCAAAGCAAGTTATAAATTCTTTAAAACAGTAAAAATGCCAAGCAAGTGAATCTTCCTACCTTTGATCTGTATGAGGACCAGGGCTAGTATTGATATCCATAGTGGTATTCGTGTCCCACCACCTTTACCCATCTTCTGGAGGTCCGGTAAGAACCACCGAACAACCTGCCTCTGAGGAAATACCTGTCTGTTCCCACCTCTTATATAGTGAGAGAGTAGAAGTTGGCTCAGTTCCCAGATTGTTTCACAAGGCTCTTAAAAGGTGGGGCTTCAGACATTTTCGTTTTCTTTTGCAGGTGCAGAGGTAAATAGAGGATGCTCTGACTTTCCCTCAGATATTTACACTCTAGGAGGAGTCTTCTTTCCACATTTTTGATGAAATGTCATGAAGTGAGCAAGAAGAATTTTTGCTTAGGCTAAGTCTTCCCAAATTTTTGTTTCTTGTGGGATAAACACAATTTAAGAGACTTTTGAGCAGGAAGTTAGTTTGAGTGAATTGCTTCTTTTTTTTTTCTTTTTTTTTTTTTTCTTTTTAGGGAAAGTGATGATAATTAGCTTCTCAAAAAAACTCCAAAGAAGTTCCACCTGATACAAATTTTTTAAACGAGTTTGCACCTGCCTATGTAGCTACTTTGCTTGTGAGAATGAAGACATCAAATGCTATTTAAAGTCAGCAATTATCCCACTGGCCAAGCACAACACAGGTGTACACAATGGGAACCCTTCTGTGCTGGCAAGTCAGTAATATGGCCTTTTCCTTGAGGGTCTCCTTTTCTTATATGGGCAATTTTAGGGTTATTTCAGCTGTTTTCCTTCTAACATGATTTCACCATTAAAAATTAGTTGGATTCTACCTATGATTAAAAAAAAATCCATGTAATTTCTAGCCCTAGAAATATTAAAGGACAGATATGCAAGAATATTTTCTGGAATATTCATTATGTTAGGAGCAATGAGGGAGTGAAAAATGTTTTTTGAGTATGTTAAAATAGTTATTTACAGCTATAGCACTTTGGGAAATTAACCTTTTCTAGTGTTTTACCTTGGGGTGTAGAGGAACACAGTCTTTCACTAGGAGAGCAGATCCCATAATCCCACAGGGGTTCAAACAGTTCCTGCAAGGAAGAAGGTACTGGTGTAGTCTCCATATTCTTTGGAGTCATAACAACATTCAAAATGGAATGAAGTTTAGCTGTTTTGGAGGGATGTTAGATGGGCATTGAAAAGGTAGTGAAATACTCATTTAGGTTGCCTAGGAATGCTGTCCAATTTCCATCACTAGCTTAGTAAAGCACCTACATGAGAATGGTCTAAGTGCTGTTGATAGTGCTCTGGGGCAAGAGAATAGACTAAATGTCCATTTGAAATTCTCTCAAATATTATTTTCTATTATGTTTTTTGAAAAATTATCATGGAATCGTAGAATTGTAGAATGGTTTGTGTTGGAAGGTACCTTAAAGATCACCCGCTTCCAACCCCCTGCCATGGACAGGGACACCTTCCACTAGACCAGCTTGCTCAGAGCCCCATCAAACCTGGTCTTGGACACTTTCAGGGAATGGAGCATCCACAACTTCTCTGGGCGACCTGTTCCCACTCCTCACAGAAAGGAGTTTCTTCCTAATATCTAATAATAATCTACTTTCTGTTAGATTTGAAGAAGTAACTTTAACACTAAGAGGGAAATAAAAGGCACAATTTTTACCTAAGCAGCAAACAAAAGCAAGAAATATGCTGCTTGTCCTGAACATTTTAAGAGTACAACTATTTAAATAAAGGTGACATAACAAAATCGAATTGGAAGTTTTGAGGAAAAGAATCGTTCAGTTTCAGTCATGAGTTATACCTTTGGCAGCTTCATTGATGTGTAAGTCTGTAGAATTTACGTAGCACTATTTAACAAGGAAAAGAAGCCTACAAGATACTTGTACATACAGAAATACATGCAGTGAAAATTTAAGGAAGTATCATTGTTTCTAATGGTTAGTATCAAAGTTCCAGGATGAAGATCCAGAAAAAATAACAGAATTCATGGATGTAATGGTATGTACTTAAAGTAATGAAAAAATAGTATGGTAAACTCATGTGGGTAACACACATAAGCTTATTAAGAGATTATGTTAGTGAGAAGAAATATATACTTTATGAATAATTTTATTACTTACCACTAAAAATCAATTAATATCAACAGTTGCTATGCTGTGGTTTCATGTACATTTCCTGCATGTTCAGGGAAGCACTGTTATCTCTGAGATGTCCCAGTCTGGTCATTATAATTAGGCTGAAACTAACCTTTAACTGAGCTTTAAGGCACCATCAGAAGTGATTTCCTATATCTGTATTTTTGACTGAAATTTTCAAATCTCATCTATGTCATGAATCAATTATCCTGACACTACTAGGTGGTTAATTCATTGATTATGACATATGGCCTCTGCCATATTAAATTTCTTGTCTTGTGCTATTCCTTCTCAGAAATTATTATAAAATGTGTTAAAATGTATGCGACTTGCAAAAATAATCTCAAATATTTATGATAAATTGATTTAGTAGAATTGTTAATTTTTCAAAGATATAATTCCTTTTCAAATTGTATTTCACCTTCACTCACTCAATAGACATACACAGGTGACATGGGAGAGTATATTAAAAAATTAGTTGGGAGTAACATGTCCAATTTCTGTACCTCCTTATGATCAAATCCATACAATTGACTGCATAAATGGAAATAATAATATGCTAGAAGAATTTATTGATATACCTACTTTTTTTTTTTTAACAGAAAAGATAGAAGATTTTGCCATTGCATTTGATCTGAAAACCCTGTAATTTCTTTCTTTAGTTTCTCTTCCTTTTTCACAGGATCATATTCCTACTCTCTGTGTCCACGACATTAAATTGAGTGAAATATTTCAGTAAAAGAGTTGTTAGCATTTTCAGATCCATTCTTTTTGACCTTACATGATCAAATGCTACATGGTTGTGATGCTATTTACACATCTTACTCATGATTTCTGAATCTCCTTCTTCATAAAATAAAATGAGAACATAATATCTTATCTTCATAGATACCCACTGTAAAATGCAAATAAAATGTGATAGCAAACTTGGTTAACTTTTGGGTGCAATAATGACTGAAATCAGTATCTCCATTTATAGTTAAAAAAGACAGGATGATGAACTTATAAGGACATGCAAAACATTGTCTAGTCCACCTGGTGCCGTACTGGAGTAGGGAGTATTCATTTCAAGAGAAGGAAGAAAATGTGTAATTGACAGGAATTACAGCACTTCCTCTGTGTGAGGGCTAAAATGCAAGTTAACAAGGCACTGCCTGCTTGACTTTTCTCTGGCTGGTCATTTGGTCACTTCTGAAGCAAAGTTTAAGCTCCAGAGACATGCTGGAACACTTGGCATGGAATTCAGCTGAAGTACCATTCTCATTGTCCCTGAATTTTGACCTGTGAAAATTCAAATGCATTTTTTTTATCTTAAAGCTTCTATGGAAAAGTGAGGTAACTGATCAATTTCAGCTTAAAAGTTGTTCATTAACATTATAGGTGTTCTCTTACTTATGTGAAGATGAACTACATTTCAATCAGCTGCAGTAAGTATTTCATTGTATGACACAATATAGTCTATCTAAAGTAAAGCTATAGTTAAAGACTAAAACAGGGATACGACTTCTTTTATGTTCTTTTCTAGTCAAACAGAGCCATTGATCCATTCCTTTACTTCCAAGTGCTTAGATAGAACTCATTAATTGAAAATCAAATCACATTGTAACTGAGATTTTAAGCCATTTCCTTAACATGAGTAGTTCTCCTTCTGTCTTTTAGTGTGTGCGTTGTAGAGGAGCAACACATAATGCTTTAACCTCCATTGCAATCTCTATGTTTGGCTTCAAAACAAGTAATAGGTAACTTGATATTAAGATCTGTTACTAATCTGTTCATTTCAAAGTTTGAAGTGTCATTCAGAAGAACCCAAGCAAAGCATAAGATTTTAAATCAGGCACTAGAGACTGACTAGCTGCAACATAAGAAGCTGGTTAATACTGATATGATTAGGAAGTAAAAGATACTGAGTACAATATCTCTCATATTATTTAACCATTATCCTCTGGGAAGCAGATCCATCAGAGAACAACTTGGAGTACTGTATTAAGACATTCTCCTTATAGAAAGCTAGTAAAGATCCTGTGCAGAGTTAGTAAAGGAAAAACAGTGTGCACCCTGTACCATGAGAGGTACGAACATGGGGCCCAGAGTAGGGTTCCCATGTTGTCTGAGCACGTCCGGGATATCTCTGTGTGTAAAGGGGATAAACACTTAAGCCTCTTTACAGTTTGTAAACACAGACACCACAACCATGCATGCCAATATTTGGAATTGGTATTATGGACTAAAAATCTGATGTACACACACATACTGGAGGGCATATTTACATTGTGCAGCGGTGCGTGTTGCAGAGATCCCTCTGCTAGCAGCCGCCAAGGTAAATTCATAGTAGGAAATAGTGTCACTGCATCAGTATGAAGTCGCACCTAAGAGAATTTGCTTTTCTCTGAGGCATTGACACTGCAGCATTGTGTTTGGGATCGGAGCTCTACCGAGACCTATGCAATGCCATAGGGCCATTGCAGCACTGTTTAAAGCCAGCTGAAAGCTGGGATCTGTTGTGCAGTGCCTTCATGACCCAAGTCAAAAATCAGTCTTTTGAAGCAATTGATGTTTACAGGCTCAGAGAAATAAATAGTACGACTAGTCAAAAAGTGGGTGAAATGAAGGGCTATGCTGACCAGTACTTATAAACTCTCAAAGGAACCTGTTGATGATGCACAAGCTCAAAAAAATCTACGTCAATATACTCTGGTGGACACAATTCTGCTGAGTGACAATTTGTTTGTTTGTAATTATATGAACTAGAGACTGCATATAAGTGGAGATAGATATGTATATATATTATTACCACTAGCAAGTTTTGTCAGAAGTTCTATTATAAGACCCTTGAGTATATTGCCTTATTTTAAATCAGTAGCAAAAAAAGCATGGAGGATATAATTAAATGCATACAAGCAAGGACAAACATGGAAAAAGAAATAAAATCCTTTGGTCCATGTATTATTCAAG